GAAACCTTACTTGTCAAGTTTAATACTCAGAGAAAAAAATGATATAACTTTCAGTTACAGATATTAAAATTGTCATGTTCACTTCACAAGATAAATAACCCTATTGTTATCTTCAAAACAAATCAAATTGATGGGGAGACAATTTAGCAATGCAGTATGTAGTAACTATGTACCTGTATACATATATATATATACCCTGAACATTATAGGTCAAAAATATTTGTTGTAATGGAATTTACGTTTTTTCTTGTATGCTTCTGCTTATATTTATTATTCCCTACCGTTTAAGTTTAGTACATATATTAGGTACAGCATTAGATGTAACATAAAGAAATCATACTTTATGATATACTGATAGGTACAACTTTTCATCAAAGGAGAAGGTCCGGTAAAGGCTAGTTTTGGCCTATTATTCGAAGTACATCTAATGAAAGATTTTTGACATTTTTTAACACTTAAGTGTCAACTTCAGTCGATTCAATTAGTTTATGTAAAAGATTTGGACTGATTTGGTCACTAAAGATGCTCAAATTCAAGCTTAATTATGAAAAATCTATCAAATATGCCATAAAACGTCACTTTTCAAATGGTTTTTGTCTAAAATGTAAGTGGCCGCATTCGTGTTCAGTCTCAACCTTTATATATGTTATGGATTATCATCAAATACAAAATATATATTCAAATATTAAGACTGAACACAAATACGGCCACTTCCATTTTGGACAAAAACCGTCTTAAAATTAGCACAAATGCTAAAATTGTGAAGATTTCAGTAATATTGCATGAATTTATGATGCTATTACCTGATGCATGTGCATTGTATTGTCAAAAACAACCCATATTTATGGAACAGAAGTATTCTTCTTTCCAATAAATAGCTAAAAGTTAACATTTTAACAAATTGGTAAAAACACTATATTTTGGGGCCAAAAAGGGGTCTGACCAATACATAGAGAATATCATATGGCTTTTTCAATATCACACCCGTATCAACCCGAGACAGCAATATAATCCCAAGAGCTCTGCTCGAGGGATTATATTGGTTGAGGGTTGATACGGTGTGTGATATTGAAAAAGCTATATCATATACACTTTATTATATACATATACCTCACATAGATGTGTTTAATGTGACATGACGTCATACAGATAAGGGGGGTTGAAATGACGTCATACAGAATAGAGGTTTGACATGACGTCATACAGATTAGGGGTTTGATAAAGCCTTTGCAACAGTGACTGCAATTGATGACGTGACGTCATATAGATTAAAGGTGTGATAAAGCCTTTGTAACCGTGCTGATACCGATATCATCACGGGTGGCTGATACAGCACGCTTGCCAATGATTGTATTACACATACAATTTATCTGTATTTACTACTAAGTATATAATAAATATAGATTATAACATGTCATTTTTCATATCAGACCCCTTATCAGCCCTAGGTCATGATATCAGACCGAGAACCAACAGGACACACAGGCAAGGACTATTTTCAAGAACTTTCAAAAATGCATTTATTGTATTATTTTTTTTGCGTTTTTTAATAATTTATTTTCCTGATTCCTAATATTTTTTTTATGTTTTTTATCCAACTTAGTTTTTTTTTCACTAAACACATGCCATTGAGTTGTATTTTCCGGAATATGCCGAATGACGTCGAGATGCCATGGGAAGCAGTTGATAACAAAAGTCATATCACACGGCTAAGACAATTCTTCAAATTTAACGAATAAACATATGTACAAATTAGTTTTATCATGGGGTACAATTATACCGTTATTTTCTATAAGTATATGATAAATGCATGTAACAGTGCTATTCTAACATATGGGTGTCCGTGTGATTAAATGCCTTGATCAACAAACTTATATATTGCATAATAAGTAAAGAGAAGGAGTGGGAAATGAAGTTTTACATGCATTTGCATGTCCAGAATAGTAAAATTGGTTAGTTTTAACAGTTTTTATACGACCGCAAAAATTAAAAATTTTTTGGTCGTATTTTGGTATGACGTTGGCGTCGTCGTCGTCGTCGACGTCGTCGTCGTCGTCGTCGTCGTCGTCGTCCGGCGTCGTCCGAAGACACATTGGTTTTCGCACTCTAACTTTAGTTTAAGTGAATGGATCTCCATGAAATTTCACCATAAGGTTCAATACCACAAAAGGAAGGTTGGGATTGATTTTGGGGGTTATGGTACCAACAGTTAAGGAATTAGGGGCCAAAAAGGGGCCAAAAATAAGCATTTTTGTAACTTTCAGACAATAACTTGTGTGTAAGTGTATGGATCTCTCTGACATTGTACCACAAGGTTCCATATCACAAAGGGAAGGCTGTAATTGATTTTGGGGGTAATTGCCTCAAAATTTTAGGAATTAGGGGCCAAAAAAGGGGCAAAAAACAAGCATTTTTCTAGTTTCATGACAATAACTTGTGTGTAAGTGTTTGGATATTTCTGAAATTGTACTACAAGGTTCCATATCACAAAGGGAAAGCTGGAATTGAGTTTGGGGGTAATTGCCCGAAACGTTTAGGAATTGGGGGCCAAAAAGGGGCCAAAAATAAGCATTTTTCTAGTTTCCAGACAATAACTTGTGTTCAAGTGTATGGATCTCTCTGAAATTGTACTGCAAGGTACCATACCACAAAGGGAAGGCTGGGATTGAGTTTGGGGGTGATGAATCATAAGGGGGTTCAAAAAATTTGGGGGGGGGGGGGATTTTTTTTTTTTCCTTTTTTTTCTTTTTTTCCTTTTTTTTTCTTTTAAAATTTTCCATTTTAAGTTGGTTATTTCTGATTTATATTTAAAAGCAAATAATAATGATATGGTAGGAGATACACACCAAACAGGATGTGTAAATTATTATATAATAAGTATTGTGCAATAGCAAGAAATTTTCAATTGCACAGTATTGCACAATAGCAAGAAATCTTCAATTGCACAGTATTGCGCAATAGCAAGAAATCTTCAATTTAACAGTATTGCGCAATAGCAAGAAATATCCAATAGCACAATATTGCGCAATAGCAAGAAATTGTCAATTGTACAGTATTGCGCAATAGCAAGAAATATTCAATTGCACAGTATTGTGCAAAAGAAGATACTTTGTATAAATTGCTTATTTCTTGATCAATTTCAATGGGGTTTTATTCTTGAATTCTTGGGGTTCTTTAATATGCTGAATCTAACCGTGTATTAAGTTTTTGGATTTTGGGCCCCGTTTTTAAATTGGTCCACATTGAGGTCCAAAGGGTCCAAAATTAAACTTTGTTTGATTTCATCAAAAATTGAATTATTGGGGTTCTTTGATATGCCGAATCTAACTGTGTATTTAGATTTTTAATTTTGGGTCCCGTTTTTTAAATTTGTCTACATTAAGGTCCAAAGGGTCCAAAATTAAACTTAGTTTGATTTTAACAAAAATTGAATTCTTAGGGTTCTTTGATATGCTGAATCTAAACATGTGTTTAGATTTTTGATTATGGGCCCAGTTTTCAAGTTGGTCCAAGTTGGGGTCCAAAATTAAACTTTGTTTGATTTCAACAAAAATTGAATATATGGGGTTCTTTGATATGCTGAATCTAAACATGTATTTAGATTTTAGATTTTTGGCCCAGTTTTCAAGTTGGTCCAAATTGGGGTCCAAAATTAAACTTTGTTTGATTTCAACAAAAATTGAATATATGGGGTTCTTTGATATGCTGAATCTTACCATGTATTTAGATTTTTTATTTGTGGGCCCGCTATCAAATTGGTTCATATTGAGGTCAAAAGGGTCCAAAATTAAACTTTGTTTGATTTCATCAAAAATTGAATTATTGGGGTTCTTTGATATGCAAAATCTAACCGTGTATTTAGATTTTTAATTTTGGGTCCTGTTTTTTAAATTGGTCTACATTAAGGTCCAAAGGGTCCAAAATTAAACTTAGTTTGATTTTAGCAAAAATTGAATTTTTGGGGTTCTTTGATATGCTGAATCTAAACATGTGTTTAGATTTTTGATTATGGGACCAGTTTTCAAGTTGGTCCAAGTTGGGGTCCAAAATTAAACTTTGTTTGATTTCAACAAAAATTGAATATATGGGGTTCTTTGATATGCTGAATCTAAACATGTATTTAGATTTTAGATTTTTGGCCCAGTTTTCAAGATGGTCCAAATTGGGGTCCAAAATTAAACTTTGTTTGATTTCAACAAAAATTGAATATATGGGGTTCTTTAATATGCTGAATCTTACCATGTATTTAGATTTTTTATTTGTGGGCCCGCTATCAAATTGGTTCATATTGAGGTCCAAAGGGTCCAAAATTAAACTTTGTTTGATTTCATCAAAAATTGAATTATTGGGGTTCTTTGATATGCCAAATCTAACTGTGTTTTTAGATTTTTAATTTAGGGTCCCGTTTTTTAAATTTGTCTACATTAAGGTCCAAAGGGTCCAAAATTAAACTTAGTTTGATTTTAACAAAAATTGAATTCTTCGGGTACTTTGATATGCTGAATCTAAACATGTGTTTAGATTTTTGATTATGGGACCAGTTTTCAAGTTTGTCCAAGTTGGGGTCCAAAATTAAACTTTGTTTGATTTCAACAAAAATTGAATATATGGGGTTCTTTGATATGCTGAATCTAACCATGTATTTTGATTTTGGACATTGGACCATAATAGGTAAATTAAAAAAATTGAAGTTCTTAGACCACATTCTTTCCGTGTCAGAAACCTATGCTGTGTCAAATATTTAATCACAATCCAAATTCAGAGCTGTATCAAGCTTGAATTTTGTGTCCATACTTGCCCCAACTGTTCAGGGTTCGACCTCTGCGGTCGTATCAAGCTGCGCCCAGCGAAGCATTTTATTATATATAGCAGTCAAATATGGGATTCAGGAACAAGTTTCAAAAACTGTTTTTAATCTGTCTCCAGATTGGTTGATGACTACAATTTTTCTTTGTACATGTATGACTCGTTATACACTTTGATACTTTGTCTTCTTTCAGGTAATGTTTTGCAGAGTATACGTCAACCTCGATGTGAACAAGGCAGTTGTTATCCTGCAACTGGAGATTTGTTAATAGGTCGTGAGGACTCTCTATCTTCCACATCAACATGTGGATTAAACAGTCCAGAACGTTATTGCATAGTTAGTCATTTAGAAGAAGATGCTAAGTGTTTTGTGTGTGATTCTAGATATGAAAGAGAGAGTCACAATATTACAAACATTGTATGGTCTTATGGAAATCGGTATACTCGTTGGTGGCAAGCAGAAGCTGGAAAGCAACAAGTTTCTATACAGCTTGATTTAGAAGCAGAGTTTCATTTTACCCATTTGATCATGACATTTAAAACATTTAGACCAAAAGCAATGTTAATAGAAAGATCATATGATAGAGGAAACACTTGGAGAGTCTATAGGTATTTTGCTGAAGACTGTGTGGCATCATTTCCAGGAATAAAAAGATGGCCCCCAAAAACACTGGAAGATGTGATTTGTGATGATTCCTATTCAGATGTAGCCCCATCTACAGAAGGAGAGGTACAGCTTCTTCCATACTTTCTTATTCATAGATCTGTATATTTAAAAGTAAAATGTAATGAAAAATGAATATCACATATCATAACTATTAGAATATTTTCAGACTTCGAAGTGCTACTTGCAATGATTTTTATCTCAAATTTCAAACCAAAAATTCTGCATAAATTCTTTTATTTTTTGTTAGTTAACCCTTAGGTGTAGGTTGACTAAGATTTCCTGAAATGCTACAAAATGTAGGTGACATTATGATTAAATGGGATGGCTTTAGATTACGGTAAGGTATAGCAATCAGTGTTCTCCCCAGGCCGTTTTAGCGTCGCGGCACCGAGACGCTATATTTTTTCCCCGTAATGCTATAATAATTTCCGCGACGCTATAATTATTTTTAGGATGCTATTTTTCTTGTCTCTATATCGCAAAACCATGTCCTAAATTTTGAACTTTCATCTAATTACCGCTTGTGATCATAAAAATTATATCACCTTTAATTGTAATCCCTTCAAGTCGGACAATAGAGGCAATTTAGAGTGATTAAAGAGGTGTTAATTGCCCTTTGGGTGATAACTGAATGGATACGAATACCCCAAGCTGACTATTGTGACATGACTAATACCACGTGGTCCAATCGCAACTTTCGACATGGGGAAAATGTAATCAGAAAATCAAAAACAATTAGAAATCTACGTTTGCATAATCCAAATTCAAAGATACAAACGATTTCTCTCTTTAGAAAAGAGGTTAGGTCGTATATTTTTCAACTTTTGAAAAATTACTTTCTTTCATTTCCGGTACTACCAGTTAATCAAGAGCATATATTAAACATTTTAATTTTGAGTTAAATAAGTTTGATACTTCTTTAGAAAGAGATCATAAATTGGCTTATGTTAATGTTTCATCCATTTAATGCATTAAAAGCGTTATATTCATTCCAAATCTCTTGTCAAACATTGTTTATTTTCGTAAATTTTTCTTCCGCCGCCATTGAAATATTTGTGTAAACTACGGATCGGAACCTGACCAGATATGACTAAATTCCGCATTTTTACGATAATAACTACAGATGCACAAGTGGCACAGTAGACAGAAAAAAATTATCACAAAAGAGAAAACTACGCATTCCACACACATTAACAGACTATTTATAAGATATCTTTGCTAAATGTATTCTTTTTGAAAATACATTGTTTCAATATACTGACTAAAGTAGCTTAACTTTGTTAAAAATACATATCATTTTAAAATATAAAGAAACAACTGGGACTAATTCATTGAGTTCAATGAAACAATGAATTTCATAGACATGATAAAGAAAAAAGTTTTTTAATTGAAATTTTATTGCTATATGATACTTTCTCTTCCCTTTTTATATAAAAACCAGTTCTTTTTTTCTAGATATTTAGTATTGTATATATAATACAGGTTGTACTATAATAAACCATTCATTCATTCATTCATTCATTTAGTTGAGTAGGTAGGGTAACTGGAACCACACATATATTTTTATTCGGCCCAAGAGGAAAAAAATAATTCTGTAACTATAAATGAATATAGAAGACAAAAACTGAAACAACTGTTATCATAGTTAAAGTTTAATTGTATTCTCAGTTATGAATTGAACAATATAAACATATATAACATAAAGGAAATAGAGCATCGCCGCGAAGCGTCAAATGACATTGATAAAAAATACAGTTTATTTTTTTACGCCAAATGTGATGCTATCCAAAATTTATGGGGAGAACACTGGCAATGTATAGTTGATCCCTTAATTTCATCAATCAACCTTCAAAGTTTTTCATTTTCTGATAACACTCATCTAGATAAACTGAAAGGTTGAAAAAAGGAAACATGGAGGTATGTCCTATAATGAAATGGTACAAAAATTGTCAAGTCTTATGGTCCTTAACATTTTTCAATATTTGACTTTTTCTTTATCTATTATACTTGCACTGACAAGGTTTAAATTCAAATTCAAGGTCATATAATTTGAAGTTCACTGGTGAAAGTCCTGGGACCTTGTTTTAAGGGCTGTAGCTAATGATGTCTTTAAACAAACCATCAATAGGGGTTATATATATGCCCTTTATTGCTTATGGAAAGGTTAAATCTTCTTGGTTAAAAGTTGCTCCTTAACAACCCAAACATTTTCCACTATTCCAAGACTTCAAAGTTTCAGAGAATATTGATACTCCCTAACAAGTTTAAGGTCATTGCTTATGGAAAGGTTATGTTAAAAGTTGCTCCTTAACAACCCAAACATTTTCCACTATTCCAAGACTTCAAAGTTTCAGAGAATATTGATACTCCCTAACAAGTTTAAGGTCAAAGGTCATGGTTGACCTGAAAATTTGACCTCTTGAATTGATAATCATTGTTAGAGATCACAGATGTCTACAACTTAAGGTTTCTGAGTTTTATTGGCTGACAAACATCATTTAATTTTTATACGACCGCAAAAAATTTTTGCGGTCGTATATTGGTATGACGTTGGCATCGTCGTCGTCACCGTCGTCCGAAGACACATTGGTTTTTGCACTCTAACTTTAGTTTAAGTGAATGGATCTCTTTGAAATTTTACCATAAGGTTCAATGCCACAAAAGGAAGGTGGGGATTGATTTTGGGGGTTATGGTATCAACAGTTAAGGAATTAGGGGCCAAAAAGGGGGGAAAAATAAGCATTTTCTAGTTTCCAGACAATAACTGTGGAACGGTGTATGGATCTCTCTGAAATTATACTACAAGTTTCCATACCACAAAGGGATGGTTAGGATTTGCTTTGGGTGGTTATGGCTCAAACCGTTTAGGAATTAGGGGCAAAAAAGGGGGAAAAACAAGGTTGTCCTGGTTAATGGACAAATACTTTAGTACAAAACATAATTTAAAGCAGTGTAAGGGAGATAAATCAAATAATCATTGAAATTATCTCCCTTACACTGCTTTTTAATTATGTATAAAGTAATGATTAATGAACAATTAAGATAATTTAAAACAGTGTAAGGGATGTAATCCAAATACAACGTTTTGCTTACTTCCCTTACACTGCTTTTAAATTATGTTTAAAGAAATGCATATTTATAAAGGAAGACCAGTAAAAATATCTGCAAATGTTGCATCTTTTTTTTTTACCAAAAAATCCATATGAAAGATTTGACACTATATTTTAAATTCTATTATAAAATAGATTAAGTTAGCACTATGGTAAATTTAAATGGGTAATTATGGTTGCAAACTCCATTGGAAATTTGAATTGAGATTATGACCATATCTTGAGGGAAAGAATTTTTTTGGGGAAAAAAGGGGGGGGGGGGGGGGGTAAAAAGAAATTGTGGGGGGTCAATTTTTTCTCATTTCAGATTTCAGAAATTAAAAAGAATTATTCTTCAAATATTATTTTTTTTTCAAATTTCAAATATTGAAAAATTTCAAGAAGTAATCTTTAATTGCACAGTATGGCGCATTAGATTTGTAAAATCTTTGACCACATTTATTTATTTGTTATGCTGAATCTTACTGTGTATTTAGATTTTTAATTTTGGGTCCAGTTTTCAAATTGGTCTACATTAAGGTCCGAAGGGTCCAAAATTAAATTTTGTTTGATTTTAACAAAAATTGAATATAATGGGTTCTTTGATATGCTGAATCTAAACATGTATTTAGATTTTTTAATTTTTGGCCCAGTTTTCAAGTTAGTCCTAATTGGGGTCCAAATTCAAACTTTGTTTGATTTCAACAAAAATTGAATATATGGGGTTCTTTGATATGCTGAATCTAACCATGTATTTAGATTTTTTATTGGTGGGCCCCGCTATCAAATTGGTTCATATTGAGGTCAAAAGGGTCCAAAATTAAACTTCGTTTGATTTCATCAAAAATTGAATTATTGGGGTTCTTTGATATGCCAAATCTAACCGTGTATTTAGATTTTTAATTTTGGGTCCTGTTTTTTAAATTGGTCTACATTAAGGTCCAAAGGGTCCAAAATTAAACTTAGTTTGATTTTAACAAAAATTGGATTCTTGGGGTTCTTTGATATGCCAAATCTAACCGTGTATTTAGATTTTCAATTTTGGGTCCTGTTTTTTAAATTGGTCTACATTAAGGTCCAAAGGGTCCAAAATTAAACTTAGTTTGATTTTAACAAAAATTGAATTCTTGGGGTTATTTGATATGCTGAATCTAAACATGTGTTTAGTTTTTTGATTATGGGCCCAGTTTTCAAGTTGGTCCAAGTTGGGGTCCAAAATTAAACTTTTTTTGATTTCAACAAAAATTGAATATATGGGGTTCTTTGATATATGCTGAATCTGAACATGTATTTAGATTTTTGATTTTTGGCCCAGTTTTCAAGTTGGTCCAAATTGGGGTCCAAAATTAAACTTTGTTTGATTTCAACAAAAGTTGAATATATGGGGTTCTTTGATATGCTAAATCTAACCATGTATTTAGATTTTTTATTTGTGGACCCCGCTATCAAATTTGTTCATATTGAGGTCAAAAGGGTCCAAAATTAAACTTCGTTTGATTTCATCAAAAATTGAATTATTGGGGTTCTTTGATATGCCAAATCTAACCGTGTATTTAGATTTTTAATTTTGGGTCCTGTTTTTTAAATTGGTCTACATTAAGGTCCAAAGGGTCCAAAATTAAACTTAGTTTGATTTTAACAAAAATTGAATTCTTGGGGTTCTTTGATATGCTGAATCTAAACATGTATCTAGATTTTAGATTTTTGGCCCAGTTTTCAAGTTGGTCCAAATTGGGGTCCAAAATTAAACTTTGTTTGATTTCAACAAAAATTGAATATATGGGGTTCTTTGATATGCTGAATCTAACCATGTATTTTGATTTTGGACATTGGACCATAATAGGTAAATTAAAAAAATTCAAGTTCTTAGACCACATTCTTTCTGTGTCAGAAACCTATGCTGTGTCAAATATTTAATCACAATCCAAATTCAGAGCTGTATCAAGCTTGAATGTTGTGTCCATACTTGCCCCAACTGTTCAGGGTTTGACCTCTGCGGTCGTATCAAGCTGCGCCCAGTGAAGCATTTTATTACAATGGGCATAACCCTATGAAGGGGTCTTTCTGTCCAAATGTAACAAAATACCAGGTAAGTTCCTGAGCAATTCAGCCTCTCAGAAGCCTTTAGTTATTTTTCACAAAAGATAATATGCATATAGAGAATGCTAATTAGATGCTGTTCGGTAGATATGCCTCTTTGTAGCCTCAAGTACATTTCTGTAATATTTTGTTTTCTTAAAAAAATCGCTTAGTTTTGACTAATAGCAAACGCAATGATTTCCTTGCTGTCTCATGTATGTATATTGAATTCTATATAGTATTTTCTTTTTTGCAAAGTGATATATATATATACTATACAAACAATGCATGGGCGGTTGCAAATTATTTTCATCTGTGCAATAATTTCTGTTGTTTTGGGGAAGTGCCAGGGAATTATTGTTTGTATACATGGTCATCATTATTGTTACGTCATTCAAACAGCACGGTTTTCTTTCCTAACCATGTATTACTGTTATCTTACAGGTGTTGACCATCTTAACTGCTATGATAGCAAGAACTATTGTGCATTATCAGTTCAATTTTGTTTTTACAATTATTTTATTTCCTTTCAATGATTTTGACATCATGATCAATATGTGTGAGATATTTGCCACTGGGACATATAGAAAAGTGCAATCAATTAATTAATCTAGATGATTAAGCGTTTTGAGATTCATTTCATTCTTAGAATTAGCAATAATGTCTGTAATAAGAGACTCCCAAGTATCCTGCATTGCTCACTTGACTTCTTTTCTTTATGAGAGTAAATTTTAAATGATTCAAACAATTCAAAAGAGAAATTTTACAACAGAATAAAAATACCATTTGGTTCTAGCGGACTAATTAGTAATGAACAAGACCCCTGTTTATGTGTAAATCCTATATGATCAGGGTTGGCAAAAACCCGGGTTTTATGAGTATTGCCCTGCTCGAGTAATACTTTGCCAACCATGTATATTATTAATTTTTATCTCAATCTTCACAATTTATGAGTTTCATTGCTCTTTTTTTATACCCCCGCTTTAAAAAAGTGTGGGTATACTGTTTACCTCTGTCTGTCCGTCCGCCCGTCCATCCATCCGTCAGTCCATCCGTCCCATTAATGCATTTTAAGATTCATCACTCAACAACTTCCTGTTTACCGAAATATTTGGACAGGGGTATCATCAGAGCAGAAGCACACAGTTTCACTTGTTTTATTAACAAATTGTTTTAAAAAAGTAAAAAGATTAAAAGATTATACATTGTATTTTGACTGGTGAGCTATTTAGGCTTCCTAGAGCCTCTACTTAAATTTGAGGTAATGAAGATCCTGAAAATTTTCTGTTGGTTTGTGAAACAAGTAATATCTAACTATTTTCATTTCGAAACACTTGATCCTTTTATATTACATTTTATGCATATTGTATTTCTAAATTAGGAAATTTTAATCCATAACAGTTCCATATGGTACCTCACTCTGTGAAATAAACACAATACAATACCTTACAGTTTATTCCGTGAGGGTGCCATATGGATTTCTTTCTGTAGAAATACTCATAATTAGTCCACTACCGACGAAGTCGAAGGGGACTTAGGTTTGCACTTCGTCTGTTTGTCTGTCTGTCCATCCGTCAGTCCGGCAAATCAGTTTTCCACACTTTTTTTCTTTGTGCTTGAAGATATTGATGTGATATTTGGTGTATTGTTTAATCATGACATGTTACAGACCATGTTCAAATTTTGTTCTGGTCTAATGATTTTGTGCAGAGTTATGGTCCTTGGACTTAAAAAAATCACTCAAATAATCAGTTTTCCTCACTTTATTCATCATGCTTGAAGATATTGATTTGATAATTGGTATATAGTTTAATTTTATCATGACAATTTACAGATCAACTTTGAATTTTGTTCTGGTCTGATGATTTTGTGCAGAGTTATGGTCCTTGGACCTAGAAAATTCACTCAAATAATAAATTTTCCACATTATTTTTCGTCATGCTTTAAGATATTGACTTGATATTTGTTATATACATGTAGTTTACACCATGACAAGTTATAGATCAAGTTAGCATTTTGTTCCAGTACAATGAATTTTTAACTGGTAGGGGACTATTATATTGCCAGGCAATACTGACAGAATGCTTGTTTAACTCTTTTTTCTTTCCAGTCAATAAAAAAATTTGGTTTGTTTATCAATTCATTCAATATGCTTATTTAAATACACTTTTCAGATTCATTAGAAAGACAGCCCCATTTGACACGTATAGTTTCTCATACCTCTATAGCTATTTTCCAAAAAAATAATCTATCTACCTACCTACCTATCCATATTCACCAGACATGAGTCAGGTTCCGGCATATTTTTAAAGCTGGCCAAATAAGCAAACACATGTAACTGGTACCTTAAGACCAAATCAGCAGAAGATAATTAATATTGTGTTTGACAACTGTCATATGAAGCCCTGCATTTTATGGTCTAAATTAAGTTTTACTGGCCAATAATTGCTATGACTATATTTTATTACACATTTCATAATAGGTAACTTGGGGTCTTCAGACAGGAACAATTATCACCTCCAGAGCAAACCCTTATGCACCTGAAATTGAGGAACACAACTATAAATAGAAATAAATAAACCTGTATACAATGATATTGGACATCATTCAATTTTTCGTAATTGACCAAGCTTAACCATTTGTGCTTTTTTAAAGATTTGAAAGTTTGAAAATTGGAACTTGATTGCATTCTGGCGAAATGCATAGCAGTGATTTTAAGAGCATCTCTGCGAAAAACTGATAGTATCAGGGCCGAGATATGCTTAAACAGCCAGGGGAGAATACTTAGATAAACTATTATCATGTATTATGGTTCACCAATGTTATGATTATCTTCTTAAGCATTATTCCTCATTATTTAAGGTTAGGCACAAGAACCTTTGAGAATTCATGCTTGAAGGAGCTTCTGGTTATATAAATAACCTGTAATTATAACAAATCATTTTCATGTACAATTTAACTGTTCATATATGTTTTGTTATTTTGATTGTTGAATTTATCTTTATTGCTTGACTTTTAATGAATGCCTCTATCTAATTGGACAAATAGATTGTTTGTTGTTTTTTTTGTTTATTTTTATTTTGTGTTGCATATATATATATATATATATATATTAATTTGTTTTTTAAATGTTTTTTCAGGTAATATTCAGGGTACTCCCACCATTCATTCCAATAGAAGATCCATACAACCCAAAAGTTCAAGACTTACTTAAACTAACCAATTTGAGAGTTAATTTTACAGATTTGCACACTTTAGGTAATTGTTTTATACAGTCATATATTCATGTTATAGTGGCCAAATAAAAGTATGAAATATTGGGTTTGCTTATAAAAGCAAAAAAAGTCTGATTTTGACCTCATTTTCTTAATTCATAATCATTGGTCAAAGTTAAGTGCCTTTGTTAGATCTGTTTCTCAGATACTATATGCAATAAATCAACTATATTTGATGTATGGAATGATAGTAAGGTGTACATCTGACCTTGACCTCAATTACATGGATCCTTGATAATGTTGAGCTTATGTGATGTGATACATGTAGTAAAATCTTTATCTTAAAGAATTTCAACTAAAATTCAATTTTGTTCATGATCAGTAAAGCAGGTGAGACATTTCAGCCTGTACATCTTTTCTAGTTTATTCGTAAACGTTTAAACATGAGTAGAACTTATCCACAATGTCACAATGTCTGAGGAGAAGTTATCAGCAATGTCATATTGTGTGTGGAGAAGTCATCAAGCTTACTTTCTTAAAGCATAAATCTGTTTAATGGAGGGGGTATAGACCAGAATTAAGAACAATAAACAAATCATCTGGTCTTCTGTGTATTGATATAGTAAAATATAAGCTGCTCAACACAATGTGAAGCTTTTTTGCTCGTTTGTTGAGCTCATTCATTAAGAACAGCTCGCATCTGATAATTTGCGATCCCAATGTGCAGAAAACCATATAATCTATACAAATTAAGACTTAGTTTCATGTATCAGACAAGCAATACAGTTATATTGGCAGCTATACTAGAAGCTTAAGGTGGTTGTTTCATTGTAGGTGACACTTTGGTTGACAATAGACGAGAAATAAAAGAAAAGTATTACTATGCAATGTATGAAATGATTGTCAGAGGAAGTTGTAGCTGTTATGGTCATGCATCACAATGTATACCTGTTGATAAGTACAAGGGGAAAGAAAATCAAGGCAATATGGTATTTATCGAGTATATATGACATTTAATTGTATTAGTTTTCTGTTGTCGGATATAACAGTACCTGAAGCACCACTTATTTGTATCTCTGCAGGGCTCGCCCTACTGTGCGACTAGGGCACAGGTGTCATTTTCCTGACTGCCAAATGCAATATCTAGTCACTTAGGTGTTCACAACAATCCCTTGGTCATCGGTACTTTTGCATTTTACCAAATTTACAAATGACAATTTGTCAATTATAAGTAAAGAAATTCATTTGGTTACATGTCGAAAGTTGGATGAATTTATTAAATTTATACATATTTTAATGAGAAACAATGAATATCATAAACCATTGAAGAAGTATTTGTATATGTATTTCTAATATACATTTGTATGTCATTTAGCATGTTTAGCCTTTATCTTATTTTCACACTCCAGGGGTCATGTTAAGTTTCCAGGATGTAATCTGTTCCTCGTTACATGTACACCATTAAGGTCAATGATATAAATAATCAGGGGTCAGGTTTAATTTTCAGAGTGTAATCTGTTCCTCATTAAATGTACACAATTGGTCAAAAAGGTGTATTGGTTGCAAGGTGTATATTTTGGTCTTTTATAGGGTTTTTGGTCTAGCTAGCTTTCCTGCCCCATAACTCTTGTTATAATTTCATGAATTTGTTTCTTCATTCAATACTTTTTAGCCCACCTAACTAGTGCCAAATGGACTTTTGTTTCCCAATGGCATCCATAGTCCTATTAAAAGTGCAAGTTGCCTAAAATTTAAATGATCCACACATATAAGTAAATTATTTTGGATTTTAATCGGATAAATAATGCTCTGTACATATATATGTAGCTTGATTGTCTCTGAATCTCTGCTCATGGAGATATGATTGCTATCACTTAAAATAGAACTCCAAGGTTAAATTAACAAAAAATTCAGTTACCGTAATCGGGCTTGTATAGTTCGCACTGGTACATAGTCCGCACCCCTTCTCATGAAATTTCAGTTAAAAAAACTTTTTGTAACTGTTAGAAAAGGTCTAATGAAACTCCTGTAATTTCAAATCGTGCATGGTCGTTTGAGGTATTTTCTTGAAAAAACCTGTTTTCCACCATCAAACAGAAGCTGAAACTGCTTGTAAATGATTCAAGAACACTTCACCATTGTTAAAATAAGTCTAAACCACACAAAAAACAATTTAGAAACTTGTGCATGTTTAAACCGGAAGTTTGAATAGCATGTGTAAAAGAAGAAGAAAAACGGTGAGAGTCGAAATCTGTACATCATAGATATCACTATGATACGACTTTGAAAGTAAAACAGTTCCATCTTTATGTAAAACAGTGTTTAATATATCTATTACATTAATGTTTGAAGGGTTTTAAGCTAATATAAAACATATTTGTCAGTATGAAAGACGGAAACGGAACGAATAATAACAGATAATGTTTTGTAATTTACACATCGTAAGCTGGTTTACGGTTGTCTTTTTTACTTTTTTTGTATCGTTTCATTCAAGCAGATACCAGTTTATTTTAATCAATGCATTGAAAAGAAACAAGAAATGTGTAATGAAGTGTTTAACTTTTAAATTTATCAGTTTTAATTTGATATTGAATAAAAATAACTTATTAATATGGATTAGGTAAAATTATTAGTTTGAAAAATGATAAGAGCGCCCTCTACAATATCAATAACAAACATGGCGGATCGTAAACAAACCACCTTACGATTTTTTTCTCTTATTTCTTGCTTATTGTACTCTATAGTCCGCACCCCTTCTGGCAGGTTCTATTTTGGAGAATAAAACCGCGGACTATACAAGCCTTTTAACAGTAAGCCATTCAGTCCTGTAAATGGCCAAAAGTTATCAAATTTCAAGTGAATGATACAGCTGTTCTATATTCCCTTTAAGAATTAAGGCTTAAGACCCCAAATACCATCAAACTTGATAACCATCATTTTTAAAAAGAAGATACATTTTAAAACAGTCAAGTTAGTAAGCAACGATCCAAACTGCTACAAAAAATAGCTGCTCTCCCTTCTATAAAGCTAAACTTGAATCATAACAAGTGTGGCTGGTAGAGTATCATATCAAACTTTGCAGCCTACCTCTGGTGAACATAACCTTACATTATTGGTAAGTATGGCAAGATGGGTCATACACTATGCTTAGAACCTCCAGTGGATTAAAAAAAATTCAGTAATTGTGATGCAATGCACATACAATTAGTTTCATCAGACACAAAACAAGAATATTATAATTGATTCTTTCAGGTGCATGGTAAATGTGTGTGTACACATAATACCCAAGGAGACAATTGTGAACGCTGTCTTGATTTTTACAGTGACCTTCCATGGAAACCTGCACAACAGAATAAACCAAATGCCTGTCAGAGTAAGTTTTAATTGTGTCACCTGTGTACCAGAGTTAGCACATAGTTTAGGAATCACATGTGATCTTCTTACGCCATTGGTGTTGTAGATGTGGTCACATTTTTAACAGAAATCAAGAACACTTCATAATTTTTAACATTAACGTAGTTTGAAACTTAAAGGTCAGAAACAGTCATATTTTTCAGTCGTGACTGATTTAAAAATACAAATAACAGAAAAAAAAAGATTTTGATACATTTTTTTCTTACTATGCAATACACATGCCTGCAAGTGTCACCTCTTTTTGACAAATACAATATAAGGCACTTAATTTGTAAAATACAGCATTTTCACTGGATTTTACTTGGTAGCATGAAAAATTTGACATATTAAATACAATTCCTCATTTGATTTTGATCTTGGTAAATTTCCTGAAAGAAATATGTATTATAATAACATTATGTATGTCTCTGTTTTTCTGTATACCATTGTATTAACAGAGGTTTTCAGAATAAAATTATAGCCAAAAAGACTGTCCGACCTCAATTTATGAAAAAGGTACATAACTATATGGTAATGGAAATGTATAGTCCCCAGCTTTTGTATGGAACAATCAGATGTCACAGGAATCAATTTCAATTTTGTGGAGTTTTCTGGAAGTCTGTTGGAACAATATTAATAGAAAAAAAAAACCTAGCAACCATAATTTTCATAGAACATAGTATTTCATTGCTGGTAGTCAGATTGAGTACTGTAAATTCAGAAATTATTGCTAGGTTTTTATTAATGCGAATAATGCGACTTGGTGAATATTGCAATAATTAGAATTCGCAATCTGGTATCTTATACATAGATCTGTTTGCAGATTTTCCTGAAATCCCAATAATAAATCTTTATTTGTCCATTCTTCAAAAATTGCAATAATAAATGCACACAATAATTTCTGAATTTACAGTAATCACTTTAAGGATATGCAACAGTTTCAAGTTCTTTACAACAAGAGACCAAATAAGTTTTGATATAAACATTAAAAGTATCAAAAATGTCTTTTTGTTTTACATATATACATTGCTTCTCTTTTTAGAATGCAACTGTAACAATCATGCAACAGAATGTCATTTTGACCCTGCAGTGTATGTACTTTCTGGAGAGATAAGTGGTGGTGTTTGTGATGATTGCCAACATAACACAACAGGCAGGAATTGCCAGGAATGCAAAGAATACTTTTTTCAAGATCCCAATAGAGACATAAGAGACCCAGAGATATGTCAAGGTTTGTTGTTTTATTTTAGTGAACCCCATGAGGGGTTCACACCGATATATTGGTGAGTTTTGAAAGCTTCTATGAGCCATTGGATATCCTCGGAAACAAGATTCTCGGAATGTCTCGAAAATTTTCGATCATTTATACAGGTAGTTATCTATGTCTTTGAAACGGTCCCTCTATTGATATGTTACCACGTGACATTGTATTAATATTTTGACAACCAAATTAAAGTTCATTTGTAGATCGGAAAATAAAAAGCCATTTATATATTACAAACTATTTGCTTTTGACAGCATACACGTTTTTATTTAAAAGTGTATATAATTCATGTTTTGAGATGGTCCCTGTACGCATTGTTTGTGTAGTGTTTAATACAATGTGCTATTGTCAATTGTGACAATACACATGGGAATAATATACTGACATAAAATTATGTCCCAGAATAAACTGATTATTTCTGAACGTTTAACATGTCATATTTGTAATTCCACCATAGCCTAAGCAAATTTCGGAATACAAGAAGAAAATGAACAAAACGATGTTACTGTTAAAAATATTTATCTTAGGTCGGAAAACAGAAAGATAATTTAACAAAACTTTATTTTGTCTAAAATAGTTATTTTCATTAATAGATACTAACAGACCAAGGGATAATTCATTAAAATTATTAAAGTTTAAAATGAAACTAAATTTATCATTAATAGAATATAATTAATGTTATATTATCATCTTCGCGGGTTTTAACAGTGAATACATTTATGAAAATCATATGCAACATATGAGTGCCAATTATCAGGAATGAACACATGAACACAAATAAATTAGTATCTAATGTTTAAACTGTAGGGAATGAAAAAAATAGTTGCATGGTTATAATTCACAAGAATTTTGAATCCTTGCATTTCACAATAAACGTAATTAATGTTTTACAATAATCATTATTACTACGAATACGTTACTAATTTTATACTGTGTACGTATGGTTTGATAAGTCTCTGCTTATATTTTGTATAGAAATAAAATAGAAAGTTAGACTTGAAGAAGAGATTGATTTGATAAAAAATTTGCCAATAGTAAATACTTGACGTTTGCGTTTATTGATAATATATTTTAAATTTCTGGAAAAAATTTATTAACAGTTAGGAATGTATGTTACAGCTCTTTTCATAATGCTAGCAAAGCAAGCAAGCCAAACAAACATTTGTCTTGCTAGCATTATAAAAAGAGCTGTAATTGAATTTTAATTCTTTTTTTGTTTTTGATAGTTCAAAATTATAGCATCTAAATCTTAGCAATGATTGTGCGATTTTGACAATTGTATGCACTGTGTTGACTAGCTACCATACAAACGTCTTGCTGTTTATTTACATAATATGGTTCATTGACTTTGAAACTTTTACATAGTTTACAAGTTAATGTTTGTATTTTGGTTTGTTTAAAGGGAACGACTTATGAAAAGTCAGTGGTATTTGGTTTGCAGTTGTATTAGCATTGGCACATCTCATTTCCATGGAGATTGTTTAGCCCTGTACCTTCAGTCATGGTTCATTGACTGAATATTTGCATAACTTACATGTTAAAGTATTGCTATTTTAATTTCAGCATTTGCATTATCAAAATAACAAATAGGAGAGACATATCTCTGTGTTAACAGTTTATTCATGCAAACAACATATGTGTCTTTATATATTTCAGATCTATGATTCACCCAGATTAAACAGCTCAATTGCATTTTAAATTAACATAGTTATCTTCCCTGATGTTATATCATCTGTGTTCTTTCAGCTTGTGATTGTGATCCAGCAGGATCTGAAAGAGATGGACGATGTGATGATCATACAGACCCATATTTTGGTCTGGAGGCTGGAAGATGTCGTTGTAAAGCTAAAGTAGAGGGGAAACGTTGTGATACTTGTGTTGATGGTTATTGGATGCTCAGTGAAGATAATCCTGATGGTTGTCAAAGTAAGTGTTTGTGTCAAATTGACCCTTAAACTGATGATCGTGTTTATTTGAAATCACAGAATTCGATCATTCAGACATCTTGACATTTCTTTATGTCTTCTGGATGGATGAAAAAATAAAACTGGTGAACATAAATGATCCTACTTGATTTCTGTGTACTAATTATAGAGTCAAAATGATTCATCTCCAAATCTAATGCAATCAAATGTACCAGTAAATCTGTGATGCTGGTTTTCTTTTTTAACTGTAATTTACACCCATATGATCAATAATGTGAAGCATTTGTTCCTATTATGCCAATTTTTGACAATGAGCTCAGATGAGCAGTTAAATGTGATTGAATCTCTAGTCTTAAATGTATGTGTGTAACACATTTTGTGGAGAAATATGAGCAACAGACTTGGATTTCTAGCCAAGTTGCAATGTTGTTAAAATAGGATGATGATATGATGAATGCAATTCAGGTCTCAAAGTAATGCCACATAGGTCAATTGTCAAGATTACAGCAGCAATTATTGCAAACCAAATGAAAGTTTTCCACAGAGTCATCTCCTCTTGTTCAAGGTGTTTAAACTTTTCACTTGTGCCATTAAATAAATACAATAGTGGGACCTTTAAATTTCTTTTAAGAGAAATCCATCATTCATTGAATAATTTACCTGACCAAAAAACTTATCTTCTTATTTGATGAAAATACATGTATCACTTCACAAAACTGCAGGTGATGTTGTATTTATTCAATAGCAATAATATATTTTCAATCTGTTCAATATAACCACTGAACTAATTATGAAAAATATTTTTTTTGTGTTTGTTTAGTTATAGGGTACATTTAAGAAGGCCTTAAATTAAACATCGTCATTTTCCAGTTTTTATTTGTCAAACTCACAAACAAAAAAATTTATTGAAAATTTAGTCAGAAATCAACTTTTAATGTATAAATCAGTGTTTATATTGAACAAATTGAAAATGTATAATTTATATTGAATAAATACAACATCATGTGTAGTTTTGTGTGTCCTTATTTAGTATTGGTTCATGTATTTTCATCATTGAAAGTTAGATTTTTTGTTCAGGTAAATTATTCAATGAGTGATGGATTTCTCTTAGAAGAAATTTAAAAGTCCAATTAACCCTTTCACCGATAGCTGCCCAGACAGAAGCTACTCTGAGACGATGGCTTCCCTGGCTACTATTACTCAAGTGGGAGATCTTCATAATAAATGTCAATAAAAACTTGTCTGTAGTATTTTGTGTCTTTATTTCATTCACTAACACCATGTTCACAGTGTTGTTCATGTTTTGATAATTTTTTCTTCAGAAAATATTCAAATTTTCAAATTTTCGGCATTATCTAGGTGAACTTCTCAAAATTCTTCTTTTTGACCCAAAATCGTAATTTTTTAACCAAAAACGGCAAAATTTTGAAAAATTTAATGAGGCTGTACAAATTCCTTACACTGAACAATGTCCATTCCAAGTGTTTTGTACATAAAACGACATTTTATGTCAAAAAAGTATACTAGTTTGGCTTCAATTCTTCCATATTTCTTTCAAAAAAAATGTTCCCTCATTTTAAATTCTCGTAAATTCCGTAAATTTCCTTGATTTTGACACGGTTTTTAACAAACGGAAGCGCCATGTTTACACTTTCATCCGGGTATTCAACAAAGAAAGATAACTCGTGTTTGCACTGTTTTGAGCGGGAAATATAAAAGAGGTATTCCGATCCCGGTAAAACGGGACTCATCGTCAGCTGTCTGAAGCGTGAATCCCGGTAAACCGGGACTCATCGGCGAAAGGGTTAAATAAACTCCACAGAGAACAATAGCTATTGTATTTATTAGATGGAACAAAAGAACTTACTAAAGTTTAAATCGACAGGTAACCTTTAAGTGAATCTGTGGAAAAGTATCATTCTTTCGCAATAAAATAGAATTATACATCAAATTTATGCTCAGTTTTTTTTAATTCTGTAGTATTATATTGATATATAAATTGATACTATTCTAATTAATAAACTATTCTTAAAGTTGTATGTCTCTACACCCCAATCTATCATTTTCACAAATTTTAGGTGACTTTTACAGTACATCACCAAAACCAGAAAAAACAGTACTTGACAAAAATAGTTTCTTCTAATACAAATCCTTTAAGATCTTAATTTATACCAACTTAGATTTATATTTGTGCTTACGTACTTTTCACTGATCATGAAAATTTTTACTCTACAACTTTACCACCATGTACATGATGTGATATTCAAGTTTTACTTGGTTAATTAAAATTATTTATGTCTACATTTCAGTATGTAATTGTAATCTGTTGGGAACTATAGATAATATGGGCTGTGATAAACAGAATGGTGCTTGTTTCTGTAAAAGATTTGTTACAGGACAGAGATGTGATGAATGTTATGTGAGTATCATAATTCAACCTTTTATAAGATATAAAGCATTTTGAGTAATATTTTGAAAAGGGTACACTAACACATTATCAGTGGTTAACAATACCCTTAAACATTGATATTTAACCAATGGCATAACATTATTTTTAATTTGGTGTATAGACAATAATATTACCCATACTTCAGAATTTAAGGTAGTTAAATCAGAAATTGGAAGAAAAAGAGAGGACATAATCTAGATCCTCCCCCTGCTTCCTTTACAGATGCATCAAGTTTTGGCTACATTTATAGTATTACTGACATTCCTAATGTAAATATTTGTCATATGTTTATGATGTATTAGTATTAGAAGTATTAGATGCAAAGTATTTACAATATTTGTAAATCATGATAATATGATTGGTTATAGAAGTAAAAGTATTGGAGGGGAAATGATATTGAAACATTACAAAATGTCCTGAACTCTGCCAGGTCATGTATTTGTTGGATTTCCTTGTCTATAAAAAAAGTAGATAATTATACCAACTAAACTGTTGTTGTCCTTTGATTAATTTTAACACTGCATGTTATAAAAGCGATTTTCAGATTTTGAAAAAATAGTATATTTTTGCATAATTTCTACATACATGTATATAAACTAGTTGTGATATTAGAGGGATTTCCAATATTTTAGATATTGTATAGTGTGACCATAATGCTCAATTAAAATTCATAGAATATTAATACACTTTTATTTGTTTTGCAATAACAAATTTTCATATGTACATATATAGTTATTGTTTTAATAATCTATTCTAGCCTGGTTATTGGGGATTAAGTTCTGATGTCAGTGGATGTCGACCTTGTGATTGTGATGTAGGCGGTGCAACATCTGAAGAGTGTGACTCCATTAGTGGACAGTGCACTTGTAAACCAAACATAATTGGTAGGAAATGTGACCAACCACGCTCTGAATATTTCTTTGGCAAATTGGACTACTTCTTGTATGAAGCAGAGGAAGCTTTGGGTATTGGAGTAAGTAACTACACTAAGCAGATGATCAACCCAAGAAAAACTTACTAAGCCCTACCTTATATCGTAGCCATTAGTATAAGAAATTGTCTTCATTTATCAATAGGCTCAGAGGTGTGGAAATGTCATGACCAACTCGCTCAACTGGTACATCCGACCAACTGGATACATTATTTTTTTTTTGTCTTTGTTGCCCATGGACAAGTAAATAATGTTACTTGACAATGTTCAAAAGTGAAACAAAATATAGAAAAAAATATCAGTAATTAAAATGAAAACTACCTACTGTTGTTTCATTTATTTTCGTGGGTATTAATTTTCGTGGATAGAGAAAAAAAGACGTTTCGTGGTATACGTAAATTCGTGGATCGCTGATTACGAAAAAAAAAATCAGATACGTAATTCGTGGATTTCTTTTTGATTAAGGAGATCATATAACCTCCTTGTTTGATCAATAATAAAACAAACAAAAAAGAAGGAATTCATTGAAAAAGTTTTGAATTGTCAAAATCTTCGCTTGGTCATTCTAGGTTAAAGTGTTCATTGAAAACTTCTATCACAATAATGAACAGAGACAACTACTTATTTGTTTGTTTTACAATTTATAAATTCTTGTCGGAATTTCATAAGGCATTCAAAACTCTATGATTGAAAGCTCAATTCCCTAATCACGATATAATAAACAGTCATATAAGTAAAAGGTGTGAAAATAAATGTTCCTGTCATAAACAATATTACCTACGGGCAATATCCCCGTACTTAATCCTATTGATTTTTAATCACCATGCAGTATACCAAACTATGACACGGTAATTAACAACTTGCAGTTATTTTCCATGAAAAGTTTTAATCAATTTTAAAAAGTAAAGTATCACTGATATTCGATATATTTGTTATTGATTTAATCAAAATACTTGTATCTTCTTTCATTAAAAACACGTGTTATGTTACAATGTTTATCGCTAGTCAGCACTATACTAGAACTGCATAACATAACCGGAAATAAACATCCGACTCCATACACATTTTTCGGGATTATTCTTCGTTGAATTCTTAAATTCGTGGTTTGCTGTGACCCACGAAACCCACGAAAATTGGTATACCACGAATAAAAATGAATCCACAGTATTCAAGTAAAAAAAATCAATGATCAAGATGGGAATGACACATTTTAATCTGAAAAAGATCAATATACCAGCAGATTTGTTTAATATTTCATTATCTTTGTTCATTGATCCATGATTTTCAATCAGGTAATATTAAAGAACACATTGGAGGTGGATTTGGTTTTTAAGTAAAAAAACAAATCAGATTGAGATCGATATATTCCCTGACAGGGAAAGACGGGATCATTAAGGTTAAAATCCTCTTTGGTCTTGTAGAAAAGATGAAAATGTACAGGCATCTAAGAAACAGAAAACTCAGGCGGAAAAGGACATGGAGTATGAAAAGAAAGGAATGAGAAAAGTTGAAAGTTCTTTGGTTTTGATTTCCTCTAATTATCTAACAAAATAAACTAGAGAAAAAAGAATCAATTTTGCCTAATTTGGTGAAAAAATTCACAATTAAAGTAATATTTACAGTTTCACTTGCCTGGTTACCAGTGCTCACTACAAGTATTTTAACCCTGAGGCTGTACCAAAACATAGCTGTATAAAAGGAGGCATCACTGAAAAATCTTCAAAACAACACAATTTTGAAAATCAACATGTTTAAGCCTGATTTATATGTAAATATCAAAATAGCATATTTTTATACGACCGCAAAAATTACAAATTTTTTGGTCGTATATTGGTATGACGTTGGCGTCGTCGTCGTCGTCGTCTGGCGTCGTCCGAAGACACATTGGTTTTCGCACTCTAACTTTAGTTTAAGTGAATGGATCTCCATGAAATTTTACCATAAGGTTCAATACCAGAAAAGGAAGGTTGGGATTGATTTTGGGGGTTATGGTACCAACAGTTAAGGAATTAGGGGCCAAAAAGGGGCCAAAAATAAGCATTTTTGTAACTTCCAGACAATAACTTGTGTGTAAGTGTATGGATCTCTCTGACATTGTACCACAAGGTTCCATATCACAAAGGGAAGGCTGTAATTGATTTTGGGGGTAATTGCCTTAAAATTTTAGGAATTAGGGGCCAAAAAAGGGGCAAAAAACAAGCATTTTTCTAGTTTCATGACAATAACTTGTGTGTAAGTGTTTGGATATTTCTGAAATTGTACTAAAAGGTTCCATATCACAAAGGGAAAGCTGGGTTTGAGTTTGGGGGTAATTGCCCGAAACGTTTAGGAATTGGGGGCCAAAAATAAGCATTTTTCTAGTTTCCAGACAATAACTTGTGTTCAAGTGTATGGATCTCTCTGAAATTGTACTTCAAGGTACCATACCACAAAGGGAAGGCTGGGATTGAGTTTGGGGGTTCAAAAAATTTGGGGGGGGGATTTTTTTTTTTTCTTTTTTTCCTTTTTTTTTTCTTTTAAAATTTTCCATTTTAAGTTGGTTATTTCTGATTAATATTTAAAAGCAAATAATAATGATATGGTAGGAGATACACACCAAACAGAATGTGTAAATTATTATATAATAAGTATTGTGCAATAGCAAGAAATTTTCAATTGCACAGTATTGCACAATAGCAAGAAATCTTCAATTGCACAGTATTGCGCAATAGCAAGAAATCTTCAATTGCACAGTATTGCGCAATAGCAAGAAATATCCAATAGCACAATATTGCACAATAGCAAGAAATTGTCAATTGTTCAGTATTGCGCAATAGCAAGAAATATTCAATTGCACAGTATTGTGCAAAAGAAGATACTTCGTATAAATTGCTTATTTCTTGATCAATTTCAATGGGGTTTTATTCTTGAATTCTTGGGGTTCTTTAATATGCTGAATCTAACCGTGTATTAAGTTTTTGGATTTTGGGCCCCGTTTTTAAATTGATCCACATTGAGGTCCAAAGGGTCCAAAATTTAACTTTGTTTGATTTCATCAAAAATTGAATTATTGGGGTTCTTTGATATGCCGAATCTAACCGTGTATTTAGATTCTTAATTTTTGGTTCCGTTTTCAAATTGGTCTACATTAAGGTCCAAAGGGTCCAAAATTAAACTTTGTTTGATTTTAACAAAAATTGAATTTTTAGGGTTCTTTGATATGCTGAATCTAAACATGTATTTAGATTTTTGATTATGGGCCCAGTTTTCAAGTTGGTCCAAATCGGGGTCCAAAATTAAACTTTGTTTGATTTCAACAAAAATTGAATATATGGGGTTCTTTGATATGCTGAATCTAACCATGTATTAAGATTTTTAGATTTTTTGGCCCCGTTATCAACTTTGTCCACATTGAGGTCAAAAGGGTCCAAAATTAAACTTTGTTTGATTTCATCAAAAATTGAATTCTTGGGGTTCTTTGATATGCTGAATCTAACCATGTATTTAGATTTTGGATATTGGACCATAATAGGTGAATGTCCAATTTAAAATTTTTAAGTTCTTAGACCACATTCATTCTGTGTCAGAAACCTATGCTGTGTCAAATATTTAATCACAATCCAAATTCAGAGCTGTATCAAGCTTGAATGTTGTGTCCATACTTGCCCCAACTGTTCAGGGTTCGACCTCTGTGGTCGTATCAAGCTGCGCCCTGCAGAGCAATTTATTGTCTAATATCATGAAGCCTGTTTTCAACATTTACGTAAAAAATATTTCTGAAGGTTCAGTAATTGGTGTTATTGCCCTTCAATGATGGTATTTGTTTTGGAACTTTTTTGTATTCTTGGTTATTATCCTGACAGCAGAAATTATTAGCTTAACAAAATTGACATATGGGACAACAATCATCAGTCAGGGTTGTATCGATAGACATTTAAGTCTATATGAACATAGCTATTTCAAAGTGGAAATTTGGTTTTGCACTAGTTTTTATACGACCCCAAAATTTTTGCAGTCGTATATTGGTATGACGTTGGCGGCGTCGTCGTTGTCGTCGTCCGAAGACACATTGGTTTTCGCACTCTAACTTTAGTTTAAGTGAATGGATCTCTATGAAATTTTACCATAAGGTTCAATACCACAAAAGGAAGGTGGGGATTGATTTTGGGGGTTATTGTACTAACAGTTAAGGAATTAGGGGCCAAAAATAAGCATTTTTATAACTTCCAGACATAACTTGTGTGTTAGTGTATGGATCTCTCTGACATTGTACCACAATGTTCCATATCACAAAGGGAATGCTGGGATTGATTTTGGGGGTAATTGCCTCCAAATTTTAGGAATTAGGGGCCAAAAAGGGGCAAAAAACAAACATTTTTCTAGTTTCATGACAATAACTTGTGTGTAAGTGTATGGATCTTTATGAAATTGTACTGCAAGGTTCCATATCACAAAGGGAAAGCTGGGTTTGAGTTTGGGGGTAATTGCCCTAAACGTTTAGGAATAAGGGGCAAAAAAGGGGCCAAAAAACAAGCATTTTTCTAGTTTCCAGACAATAACTTGTGTTCAAGTGTATGGATCTCTCTGAAATTGTACTGCAAGGTACCATACCACAAAGGGAAGGCTGGGATTGAGTTTGGGGGTGATGAATCATAAGGGGGTTCAAAAAAAAAGGGGGGGGGGATTTTTTTTTCCTTTTTTTTCTCTTAAATTTTCCATTTTAAATTGGTTATTTCTGATTTATATATAAAAGCAAATAATAATGATATGGTTTGAATAGGTAAATTAAAATTTTTTAAGTTCTTAGACCACATTCATTCTGTGTCAGAAACCTATGCTGTGTCAAATATTTAATTACAATCCAAATTCAGTGCTGTATCAAGCTTGAATGTTGTGTCCATACTTGCCCCAACTGTTCAGGGTTCGACCTCTGCGGTCGTATCAAGCTGTGCCCCAGCGGAGCATTTTATTAGTAACTGTTGTTCCTCTTAAATTGTCAGTCCTAAACCTGGAACCTGTAATAAAGTGGTTGACATTGGTTGCTGTCTGACATAATTGTTTTCCATTCTTTTTGTGGAATAAATCTGGATATTGGTTCTCTCTTGAAATATTTCACATTTTTAGCTCACCTGACCTGAAAGGTCAAGTGAGCTTTTCTCATCACTTTGCGTCCGTCGTCCGTAAACTTTTACAAAAATCTTCTCCTCTGAAACTACTGGGCCAAATTTAACCAAACTTGGCCACAATCATCATTGGGGTATCTAGTTTTAAAAATGTGTGGCGTGACCTGGTCAACCAACCAAGATGGCCGCCACGGCTAAAAATAGAACATAGGGGTAAAATGCAGTTTTTAGCTTATAACTCAAAAACCAAAGCATTAAGAGCAAATCTGACATAGGGTAAAATTGTTCATCAGGTCAAGATCTATCTGCCCTGAAATTTTCAGATGAATCGGACAACCCGTTGTTGGGTTGCTGCCCCTGAATTGGTAATTTTAAGGAAATTTTGCTGTTTTTGGTTATTATCTTGAATATTATTATAGATAGAGATAAACTGTAAAAAACAATAAATGTCGGCAAAGTAAGATCTACAAATAAGTCAACATGACCGAAATTGTCAGTTGACCCCTTTAGGAGTTATTGCCCTTTATAGTCAATTTTTAACCATTTTTTCGTAAATCTTAGTAATCTTTTACAAAAATCTTCTCTGAAACTACTGGGCCAAGTTAATTATAGATAGAGATAATTGTAAGCAGGAAAAATGTTCAGTAAATTAAGATGTACAAACACATCACCATCACCAAAACACAATTTTGTCATGAATCCATCTTCCTCCTTTATTTAATATTCACATAGACCAAGGTGAGCGACACAGGCTCTTTAGAGCCTCTAGTTTCTTATGAGGCTTTTTATAGCTTTAATTTGTGCGTAATGGATAGGTGCTCATTGTTGTAGCCATATAGTGACCTGTAATTGTTTACATCTTTGTCCTTTGGTCTCTATGGATAATTATCTCACTGGCAATCATACCAAATCTTATTTTTATAGAAGTATTTTTAAGGCAGTCAATATTTAAGTACAGTCTTTAGTTTAAGATTTTAAAAGTTGAAAACTTTGTTGAGCTTACATGGAACTTTACACAACTTTGGCAGAAGCTATTTTATAATCAGGAGATAGCACCTTTAGCCAAACTTTTAAGCATTTATTGGAGTGTATTTTACTGATAAATGGACTTCTGTCAAGGTTAAATTTTTACACTGACAGCAACAGTACAAATTTTAAGATATATTAAGTATATCTTTGCAAATTAATAAAAATATTAGGATTTATAAAAACAGTTAAGTATGACGAGAATTAGTTTTATAATTTTTTCTTCACAGAATACACGACCATATATAAGAGAGCCTAGACCAGGGCTTCAGAGTTGGACAGGCAATGGATTTATGCAGATAATGGAAGGAGATATCATTGAATTCACTGTGAATGATATTGTGTTCCCTATGTATTATGATATTGTTATTAGATTTGACCCTAGGGTATGTATTTGTAGAGTATTTTGTCATATTTTATTAGAAATTTTCTATGTAATATTGCTTCATGTGTGTACATGTATTTTGATTCCTAGCGCAACATGTTACTGGGGATATAGAAATACTGGGCATCCGTCAACTATTTTTCGACGCTCGTTTACGGGACGTATTATGGTATACCTTTGTCCGTCCGTCTGTCGTCAGCATGTCGGACAATAACTCAGAAACGCTTTATCCCATTTGCATGAAACTTTGGGCAATTGTTTATATCTATTGACTTGAGCTCCCTTTTGATTTTTATGAATTTTAGATTTTATGTTTCCAAGTTATGCGGTTTTATTCTATAAAAAAGGGGGATTTTCTAGTTTCTGGACAATAACTCAAAAACACTTTCACCAGTTTGCAAGACACTTTGGTGAATTGTTTATATCTATTGATGTGAGCTCCCTTTCGATTTTTATGAATTTTAGATTTTACGTTTCTGAGTTGTGGGGTTTTCTTCTTTAAAAAAAGGGGATTTTCAAGTTTTCGGACAATAGCTCAAAAATGCTTTGAGCAGTTTTCATGAAACTTTGGTGAATTGTTTATATTGACATAAGTTCCCTTTCGATTTTTATAAATTTTAGATTTTATGTTTCCAAGTAATGGGATTTTATTCACAAAAAAGGTGTGATTTTCCAGTTTCTAGACAATAACTCAAAAGTGCTTGAGCAGTTTTCATGAAACTTTGGTGATTGGTTTATATCTATTACAATAACCTCCCTTTAGTTTTTTTTTTATAAATTTCTGATATGACATTGAGGAGTTATTGAACTTTATTTGTTGAAAAATCAACGGGCGTATCATGCGCTCATGGCCCAGCTGTTAATTAAAAGAGTTATGCCCCTTGAAAGTATTTATTATATTGAAAATTGCATTATAAGCGCTCTTACATGTACAATTCTTGCCAGATTTTTAGGAAATTTATATAAAAGGTTCATATTGTCAATGTCTCAGCTAAATTTAAAAAACAGTGCCAATCAGCTATTTTTATACGCCCGTTTACGGGACGTATTATGGTATACCGTTGTCCGTCCGTCAGTCTGTCCGTCCGTCTGTCCGTCGTCAACATGTCGGACATTAACTCAAAAATGCTTTAACCAATTTGCATAAAACTTTGGTGAATTGTTTATATCTATTGACGTGAGCTCCCTTTCGTTTTTAATAAAATTAAGATTTTACGTTTCCGAGTTATGGGGTTTTATTCATTAAAAAAAGGGGGATTTTCCAGTTTTTGGACAATAATTCAAGAATACTTTCACCAACTTGCAAGAAATTGTGGTGAATTGTTTATATCTATTGACATGAGCTCCCTTTCAATTTTTATAAATTTTAGATTTTACGTTTCCGAGTTGCAGGGTTTTATTCATGAAAAAAGGGGGGATTTTCCAGTTTTTGGACAAAAACTCAAAAATGCTTTCAGCAATTCTAATGAAACTTTGGGGAATTGTTTGTATGTATTGATGTAAGCTCCCTTTAGAATTTTATAAATTTTACATTTTACATTTCTGAGTTATGGGGTTTTATTCATTAAAAAAAGGGGTGATTTTCCAGTTTTCGGACAATAACTCAAAAATTCTGTCACCAATTCTCATGAAACTTTGGTGAATTGTTTATATCTATTGATGTAAGCTCCCTTTTTATTTTCATAAATTTCTAATATGACATTGAGAATTAATTGAACTTTATTTGTTTATAGTCTGACAACAGATTTACTAAGTATTGCACAACAGCAAGAAATCTTTAATTGAATATAAATTCAATTCATATAACCAATTTCAAGATCTTTGACTACATTTATTCAGAAACCTATAATATGTCAAATATTTAATTACAATCCAAATTTGGACCTGAATCAAGCTTGAATATTGTGTCCATTTTTGTCCCAACTGTTCAGGGTAGGACCTCTGCGGGCGTATCTAGCTGCGCTCAGCGAAGCAGTTTATTAAAAAAGTTATGCCCATGGAAATATATGGAAAATTGCATTGTAAGTTCTATTGTGTACAATTCAGTAGCTGGAACTTGGGTAGCTGGAATACTGCACATCAATGTAAAAATTGTAAAAAGAATCATGTGAATAACCTTAAGTTAAATACACATATATGATCCTCTTTACAGATTGTGGTTGATGTCCTTACCACCTAAAAACATAGGCTTTATTGTTCCTGAAAATAGAAATTTCCCTTAAAATCAATGAAAAATGATTATAAATCATATGAATGACTATCAGCTGCCTAATTTTGGTCAAATGATATGTTTGAGGTTCTCTTAAAGAGTGACATCTGATGATCTCAACTACTTTCCAACATGGGTTCAAGATGCTAAAAATGAAAAATTTGACACAAAAATCAATAATTAAATTTGTAAATGACTAGTTAACTTTATAAAATAAATCATTTCATATACACATATTAATCAGCCATATTCCCACAGTATGTTATTGTCATAGTGTCATATTTTGAAATTTTGTATTCTGATATTGACATGATATTTCTATTAATTGCAGATGCCAGAAATGTGGGAAGACATTAAAGTTGATGTTATTCGCTCACAGACAGTTGATCAGACAGGACCATGTGCAAATCACAGACCTGCAGATGACAAAAAAACTACAGTGTTACAACCTGGTAAATTCTAACTTAGTATAAAAACAAGGAGATGTGGCATGATTGCTAATGAGACATAATTTGGTCCAATCATAAAAACCCTTTTAAAACCTGATTGCTAACTTACAAATTTAGAAGAATATTACTATGTTAATTATAAAAGACTTAATAATAAAAATACAAAAGAAAAGTCCTTGATACAAAATCTGACATGGCTTCAGCCAACAACAAAAAAAAAAAAGGTGAATTTCATTCGAAGTGGTGGGATTAACTTTTTGGCATCCTAGAAAAAGAACACTCACAATAATTCAGTTTAAGGATAATTAACATTATTGGTGTGCTAATTTAAAAACAGATAATGTCAAGCTGATGAACATTGAATCATACCGATTATTATAAATTTTCAATTTAAATTAGATTCCTAAAGGGAAATTCATGTATACATATTGTTGATCTAACTATGGATTATATATTTATGAGAATCATTTAACTGGAATTTAATGGTTTCAAAATTTTCTTTCTTAGTTAGGATGTGTAGAAATTTAAGTTTTTGCTTGACAATTATGCATATATTTTCAGGTAGTAGATATTCAGTAGTCAGTCCAGCAGCTTGTTTAGAGCCAGAGAGAGAATATAAGATAAGAATTAAATTCAATAGTTACAAGACTAACCAGGCTACACCTGATGCTACTACACTGATTGATTCTGTAAGTATTTTGTCTTTTTTGGAGTCGAGACTTATATTGATAACATTTGCATTATACATGTACTATCAAAATTGCATACATGCAGGACTTATCTATTGTCAACAGTTTATAGAATTTAATGAAGATTTTATATGTCTACCAAAACTTGTGTTTTTATACGACCGCAAAAAAATTTTTGTGGTCGTATATTGGTATGACGTTGGCTTCGTCGTCGTCGTCGTCCGAAGACACATTGGTTTTCGCACTCTAACTTTAGTTTAAGCGAATGGATCTCTATGAAATTTTACCACAAGGTTCAATACCACAAAAGGAAGGTTGGGATTGATTTTGGGGGTTATGGTACCAACAGTAAAGGAATTAGGGGCCAAAAATAAGCATTTTTGTAACTTCCAGACATAACTTGTGTGTTAGTGTATGGATCTCTCTGACATTGTACCACAAGGTTCCATATCACAAAAGGAATGCTGGGATTGATTTTGGGGGTAATTGCCTCAAAATTTAAGGATTTAGGGGCCAAAAAAGGGGCAAAAAACAAGCATTTTTCTAGTTTCATGACAAGAACTTGTGTGTAAGTGTATGGATCTTTCTGATATTGTACTACAAGGTTCCATATCACAAAGGGAAAGCTGGAATTGAGTTTGGGGGTAATTGCCAAAACGTTTAGGAATTGGGGGCCAAAAAGGGGCCAAAAATAAGCATTTTTCTAGTTTCCAGACAATAACTTGTGTTCAAGTATATGGATCTCTCTGAAATTGTACTGCAAGGTACCATACCACAAAGGGAAGGCTGGGATTGATGATAAGGGTAATTGCCTCAATATTTTAGGAATAAGAGGCCAAAAAGGGGCAAAAAACAAGCATTTTTCTAGTTTCAGGACAATAACTTGTGTGTTAGTGTATGGATCTTTCTGAAATTGTACTACAAGGTTCCATATCACAAAGGGAAAGCTGGGTTTGAGTTTGGGGGTAATTGCCCTAAACGTTTAGGAATTTGGGGCCAAAAAGGGGCCAAAAAACACATTTTTCTAGTTTCCAGACAATTACTTGTGTTCAAGTGTATGGATCTCTCTGAAATTGTACTTCAAGGTACCATACCAAAAAGGGAAGGCTGGAATTGAGTTTGGGGGTGATGAATCATAAGGGGGTTCAAAAAATTTGGGGGGGGGGGGGGTTTCATTTTTTTTCTTTTTTTCATTTTTTTTTTCTTTTAAAATTTTCCATTTTAAGTTGGTTATTTCTGATTTATATTTAAAAGCAAACAATAATGATATAGTAGGAGATACACACCAAACAGTATGTGTAAATGATTATATAATAAGTATTGTGCAATAGCAAGAAATTTTCAATTGCACAGTATTGCACAATAGCAAGAAATCTTCAATTGCACAGTATTGGGCAATAGCAAGAAATCTTCAATTGCACAGTATTGCGCAATAGCAAGAAATATCCAATAGCACAATATTGCGCAATAGCAAGAAATTGTCAATTGTACAGTATTGCGCAATAGCAAGAAATATTTGATTGCACAGTATTGTGCAAAAGAAGATACTTCGTATAAATTGCTTATTTCTTGACCAATTTCAATGGGGTTTTATTCTTGAATTCTTGGGGTTCTTTAATATGCTGAATCTAACCGTGTATTTAGTTTTTGGATTTTGGGCCCCATTTTTAAATTGGTCCACATTGAGGTCCAAAGGGTCCAAAATTAAACTTTGTTTGATTTCATCAAAAATTGAATTATTGGGGTTCTTTGATATGCCAAATCTAACCGTGTATTTAGATTCTTAATTTTTGGTTCCGTTTTCAAATTGGTCTACATTAAGGTACAAAGGGTCCAAAATTAAACTTAGTTTGATTTTAACAAAAATTGAATTCTTAGGGTTCTTTGATATGCTGAATCTAAACATGTATTTAGATTTTTGATTATGGGCCCAGCAGAGCTCCAGATAAGCTGCGTATTTGCGTGATCACGCAATAAAAATAATTGAAAACCCAATGCAAGTGCCCATTGCAGCGTTCTAAAACCCAATTCATGCAAAGGAAAACCCAATAATTTGTCAAAACCATGAGTTCTTAACGCTTTTAGTCGCTATCGTGTGCGCTATTTACCCTTATCTATTACATAGTCGTCGCGTAAATCTATTTTTGTAATATTGAAAATCGGAAATGTCCTTTCGTTCTAAAAATAGAGCGTTGAAAGGGTCCCTGTTGAAATTTTCCGTTGCTTCAAGGTACACGTGGTGATGAAAACATTTCGATCTTCTCTGTCTTTATCCAATTAGCGTTAGTCATTTCGTCATAATTCTTTTCGTATTGCTCGGGATTAAACATTACACTTAGCAATGAATTAAAACGAAAGTAGATTTCCGGTAAAAATATTGAATAGAAGCATGTTTTTAGCTTCTTTTTGAGAGCTGAGGAATTTTGATGAAAACAGGACCCAGCTAGTGTTATTACAATGGCGTGTTTGCGAGTCTTAACGAGATTAGGGTTAGAACTCGTCAGAGCTAAATCAGTTGGAACAGTTCACTTATATGAAGTCAGCATCGGAAACCAAAAGTTCTAATAAGGGACAAGTAAACCCAGATTTGATGAGTGAACACACATATTAGTTTTAATGTAAATGTAGCTTGCCACTTTCTTTGTTTTTGGTCTATAGTTCTGTATGCCTAAGATACATGTAGTTGACTTATATTGGCAAGTGCAGTACACCATTGTCATTTATTTATTTGATGTTGCAGAATTATTTGTAAATTGAATGTGGTCTCAGTCATTTAACCACCCTATAAACCTGGTCAAGGATCTTAAATCTGGGAGATACTTATATTTTTTTAAGTAGGTCTGGAAAACAGGTGATAGGGACTGGCAACACTATCTTACATCACTTAATGTTCACAAATATTACATAAAAATCTGAAAACTATTAGCCACACCTACCCCAAATACACTGAATGGTGATCATATGTGCTCTAGAACGGTAATTAGGTACTGTCCTATTAGTGCCACCAGTAAATATAAGTTATGGAAAATACAAAACTGTGTTGAAACCGGACACAGATTAAACATACAATTGCTCGTCAGTGTATAAACCAAATAAAATAGCTATCACATTTAAAAGAAACATATTTTATTAATAAGATGGATGAACATCTCTGTTTGATAGAATGTGATTATAACATGCCTAAATTCAATATTGTGTTGATGAAAAATCCCAATACGTTAAGGAGCTTGGTGGTGAAAAACCCAATTTGATATTTGCTTGAGGGGTGAATTGGAATTAATAATGCAATTGAAATACTATTTCACTCAATTAAATAAAAAATGGTGGGTAAAAACCTCAATTTGTGAATTCTTATCTGGAGCTCTGGCCCAGTTTTCAAGTTGGTCCAAATCGGGGTCCAAAATTAAACTTTGTTTGATTTCAACAAAAATTGAATATATGGGGTTCTTTGATATGCTGAATCTAAACATGTATTTAGATTTTTGATTTTTGGGCCCTGTTATCAACTTTGTCCACATTGAGGTCAAAAGGGTCCAAAATTAAACTTTGTTTGATTTCATCAAAAATTGAATTCTTAGGATATGCTGAATCCAACCATGTATTTAGATTTTGGATATTGGACCATAATAGGTGAATGTCCAATTTAAAATTTTTAAGTTCTTAGACACATTCATTCTGTGTTAGAAACCTATGCTGTGTCAAATATTTAATCACAATCCAAATGCAAAGCTGTATCAAGCTTGAATGTTGTGTCCATACTTGCCCCAACTGTTCAGGGTTCGACCTCTGCGGTCGTATCAAGCTGCGCCCTGCGGAGCATTTTATTGTTTGTATGTGTTATGAGTGTGTCATCATCAATGGTGTTATTTGATGTTCATATTGCAGGGAAGACACAGTGTTCCTCATAAACCTTTATAAATTGTATTGTCCCTGCTGGCCAAATAATCTGAAAATGTGGTTTTAAGTTATGTCTTCAAACCAGAATATAAGGCAGAGAAAATTAAATCATAATTCCGTCACCGAGTTATCAGTTGATTGCATCCTACTTTGGATGAATGGTTTGACAGTTAAAATTGCCCCTAAATGCTGACAACTCGAAATGTTTTTGCTGTCAGACATAAAAAAAAAATCATATGATCATCAATTTATAACACAGATTTACAGTTATGAAAATCTCGAATGTTATGGAAATATTAAAACCTGAATGGAAGCTGTGACATAGAAAAGTACACTTTTTGTGCTATTCAATATTGAAGAGTTCTTCTAAATGGTGGTTTATACATATAAAAAAAGTAAAAATTACTATTTTATACAAACCTACACACATTTTTATTTTTAAGTTTCTGTTGCCATTCAACACAATTCTTATAATATTAATTACACAAAATTTCCATGATCCTATCTCAAATGGTGTACAGGCCTAGGAGTGCAAGGATTTGTATTTTTACTCCAAAAAAAAAAATATCTTTAGAATTCAACAAATTTTCCAGGTTTCCTCTTTTGGATACTTGTTTGTTTTGATATACTGGATACTAAGTTATATTGTTATAATTGTCATTAAAAGCATTGTTTGTGATTGCAGATTGTTTTGACTCCAAACATTGATAGCATTCCAATATTTCATGGTATTGGTTATCCAGAATACATGAAAAATGAATTTATTCGTTACCGATGCCGTGAATCTCAATTGTCAGTCTACCAGCCAGAACTCCAGGACTTCTGTAGACAGCTTACTTTCAGTATTTCTTCCATTATTCATCAGAAAGCTCTTGGTATGTAAAGATTATATTTATCTTAAAATCTTTAAAAAAAACTTCTCTGAAAACAACTTAGATACCCTTTTAAACTGGAGTTTGGGCAGATACCCTTTTAAACTGAATTTTGCCCAAATCAAACTAATTCACCATACAATTGTGTCCAGTTTGAAAATTACTTCATTGAACCCTTACCCTATGAAAATAATTCTTTGTATATTAAGAAAGATATATATCGCAAGTGGACATATTTCCTTCTTTTTATATATGTATTATTTTCACAGAGCTTTATGGTGTAAAAAGGGTAAGAAGAACCAGTAACATAGTGGTAATTTGAGGTCACAGAAAAAACAAAGGAGGAACAAAGCAATAATAATGAGAAAAAATATCTTTCAAGAAATCATTCTTTCAATCAATGCGATGACATTTGATTTTGATAATCAAATTTATAACTTGAGGAATTTATTCTAGTCTCTACAAATATTGTTTATTTTAATTTTAGAGTGTCAGTGTGATCCAATGGGATCTTTAAGTAGTGAATGTGAATATGCTGGTGGTCAGTGTAGATGTAAACCTAATGTTGTTGGTCGCAGATGTAACAAGTGTGCTCCTGGTACATATGATTTTGGACCAGATGGATGCAAACGTAAGTAATAGTAAAAGCAACTATTTAACTGCAATTTCTCATAAATAGTATCATCTGTGTCAATATTCATCTAACTTTGATACTTAATTTAAGCTTTCTTAAGGATGCTGAATGTGATTTAGTCAACATGAATTTTCGAGATAAAATGTGAAATGGAACAGATCAAAACTATGTCAGTTCAATTCAATCTGAACAATTTTGTCAATATTTGTAAACTTGTAGCTTATGTCCCGTCGAAGAGAGATTTTCTAGGTCAAAGGTCTTAAATTTATAGTTCTAGTCATAACCTTGACAACCAGCTCAGTTTTTCCTCAATCTTGTTACAGACCTTCAACATTAAGGGAAGTAGAAGTGCAATTCATTTTAATTCAAAGCAGGCTAAGCATGTTGGTCTAGTACAAGGCAAGATCCATATTGATATCACATAAACATGTTCTCATCCTAATATGTAATATTTGCCACTGGATGTTAAACAACAATCCATGATCATTATCAGATACTGTAGGTTAATCGTCAACACTATGTAGTGTGTAGAATGATTGAAAGGTGTGCAAGTCCTTCTGACATGGGTCACCTAACCAGGCTTACCTTATCTGTATTTTCATGGACCATTGATGAAGATTTTTCTGTGTTATACCTTGATGTTTAAGACTTTCACCATGGATTCAATCATGATCAGCAAAGAATGTGGAACATTTCATTGTGTGCACTCTTGTCCTTTTAATTAAGAATTGTTCAAAAAAGTTTTTTTAATCATGAGTTGGAATAACTTTCATCACTAAATCTTTTTCTGAAATCTTTCTTTTTAATACAGCTTGCAACTGTCATGAATATGGTGCTGTAGATAAATTCTGTGATGCCAGGACTGGTCAGTGTAATTGCATCAGTTATGTTGGGAACAAGATATGTGACCAGTGTCAGGCAGGATATTGGGGATTCCCCCGCTGCCGACCATGCCAATGTAATGGAAATGCAGATACTTGTGATGATTTAACTGGCAGATGTGATAATTGTAATGATTACACTGCTGGTGACCAGTGTGATAAGTATGACTTCATTAATAAACATTATTCATAGCTCAGCTTTATTTCCTTTCAAATTTTAGAAGAGTTTCAACTTTAACACATTGAACACAATTTATGATATAACAAATGGTTTTCTTCAACCAGACAAAACATTTTGGATCACTACAGGATTGAAGCCTAAAAAATTAAGCCAACTTGACAGTTTTAAATTCCTGTTTTAACTTCCCTTAAATGAATAAGTCAAATTATGATCTGTTTACTACTTTCGGTTCATCTTTTGAAGTATGGAAATTCAATGATTAACAACAATTGCAATAAACATTGATCAGAAAATTTATTTCCATTTTTAAAAATTTATATTTCTCATGTATCATTTATATTAATTTTTTCCCCAATCATGTACATACTTGAGCATTGTTGAGAGTACTTATTAATAAAGGTAACCAGAATAAACTATTGATTCACTTTGAAAGATTTTGAATGCATCATGGAATTTTACATTTGTGCATACTTTTATACTTGTATAAAAAAAAAAGTGAATTTTCATTCAAATACTTAAATGATCAATTTTAAAACTATTTTGACAAACTCATACTTTGCCAGAATTAATTGCAAATCACTTAAACAGTTTAAATAACAAAAAAAGATTGATTACTGCCCAGTATTCATATTGAAACAGTGTGCCTGTACATTCTCAGGAAAATAGGTAATTGTCAGTGGTCTGCAATCAAATTAACCATCGTCAACAATACTCTTATAACATAGTATCTAGGGTTTATAGTCACTGCAAAAGTCTTAATTATTTGAATTTAAAGCTAATATAGGAAATTAAACAAATTATTCTGTGGACAGGATTACTTTATGGTGTATGCTAGGCATCTAACATACCAGTGTTCTCCCCAGGCCCTTAAAGGACCGCGGGCCCGCGATGTATAATTTTTTACCGTGGTGGTATCGTTCTTACCGCGATGTATAATTGTTCTCCGTGGTGCTAAAATTTTCAGTTAAAAAATCGTAAATCGGTAAAGTTTTAAACCACTTGTTAAATCTTTTCCGTGCGGTATAAAATTCCAGGTGAAATTTGACCAGTTCAAACCAGTTCAACACATATTGTTTACACCACGTGATCGATTTACCTTATGAGGTTAACCTTGTTGATTGGATTTAATCGATGTAATTAACACTTGTTACATGATTCTTTTGTGTTTTAATTAAGAGTTCATAACTTTATGATCACAGATAACTATTTTATGGCTCCACTCTCCACCCAAGCACTGACCTGTGACAAGTCGGCAAATACTTTGTACACAAACAGTGTCTTGACCCGATAGAAACATTTTTTGTACATCATAATGGTGGCTCATTACGTATAATGGACAACTATACATTTCCCAATTCTTATATTATATAATTAAGAGTTCATAACTTTATGATCACAGATAACTATTTTATGGCTTCACTCTCCACCCAAGCACTGACCTGTGACAAGTCGGCAAATACTTTGTACACAAACAGTGTCTTGACCCGATAGAAACATTTTTTGTACATCATAATGGTGGCTCATTACGTATAATGGACAACTATACATTTCCCAATTCTTATATTATATAATTAAGAGTTCATAACTTTATGATCACAGATAACTATTTTATGGCTTCACTCTCCACCCAAGCACTGACCTGTGACAAGTCGGCAAATACTTTGTACACAAACAGTGTCTTGACCCGATAGAAACAGTTTTTGTACATCATAATGGTGGCTCATTACGTATAATGGACAACTATACATTTCCCAATTCTTATATTATAGTATTATATGTCTCTGATTAAACCATGGCCAATATTATCTTTAATTATGACATTGTTATTGCATGAAAGTCGGGTTTCAAACTGTCTGTACATATCATGTGACCCAGTTAGTTCACGTAGAATATTCAAGTTTATTTACAATTAATTGCAATCTATTATATTTTATAAATAAAATGCATGACTGTACCTTCAAACTGGATATCTATATCCATAATTAATGAATAACAGAAGTAATTTTGCAAATTTTATCCATAAGCACATGTTAAATCTATTTATATCTACTTCCTGTCATTTAGGCGGGAAAATAGGGAGACTTAGTTGTTGACATTGAATATGGTTACATATAGATCTATAGACCAAAGATAAATTTATAGATTTAGGAATTCTTTTTAAATGGTTCATGACAAATAAAGATTTAGATTTTAGGGCAGTATTAAGTCTGTATCTATGTTTGATTACCACCAAAGACAAGAAAGGTTAATATTTACATGAAATCTATGGCAAAATGTTCTAAAATTTATGAAAAATTTGTTTTTATTAAAATCTAAGATAGAAACTGGTTCAAATAATAAAACAATATTTGCAATTGTTCTTGTTAATTTTTTATATCTTCTTATGACAGGAATCCTTTCACATACAACAACTTTTTTTCTAGAAACTAGAAAGTTTTTTAAATTGAACATTTTTGTTCTCTTTTGAATGATATTTTATTTTTATTGATTTTGGATTTTATAAAAGATTTAATTACTTTAAATTCAGATGAATATTCTATTATGAATCATAATTTATTTATTTTAAAAAAATATTAAAGTATACAAACTGTTTTTTTTATTTACTTCTTTTTTACCAATAATTTTCTGAATCAATGTCTACATAACACAGTACCACAGTGTTAAAACAAAACAAGAGACATAAAAACTACAGTAACTAGAGCTAAGCGACGTGACGCGACACAACTGATTGCATGAAATATTTCACCAAGAAGTCCACACGCGTTACCCTGGTGCTATCCAAAAATCCTGGGGAGAACACTGACATACTACTTATATTGCATGGGGTGTGTAACCAAGTATCTTCTCAATGTATGTTATTAACAGTGCTTTAACATTATTTTGTTAATATATGTGCCACACCTATAGCTAGGGGTATCAGTTTTGTAAAGTAATTACACCTCTTGTCTTCTCTATGAATAGAAAGAGATTGCTTTAGGAAAAAAAGTTAAAAAAAGACCATTCAAACCTTGAAAATTCCTTTATCAGGTGAAAATGCAGCTAAATTTGATCAGTTTGATTCCATGCATTTTTTATTTCGACACAAAAATAATAAGAAAAGTCTCGACAATAAGACTTTTTGGGAAACAGTAATTCCATGCATCATCATTTGAGCCAAATATCAGCTCTGAACCAATTATTAAGTTATGACTTTAATTTAGTACAGTTTGCAATGTATATGAGATATATATGTGTTAAATAATTTATAAAGGTGTTTGGATGGGTACTATGGTGATCCCCGTATAAATTATCGCATACCATGCAGACCTTGTTTGTGTCCTGGAGGACCAACTAGTGATGTACAGCATGCTGATTCCTGCTATGAAGATCCAAGACTGCAGACAGTAGTCTGTAACTGTTATCCAGGTTTCAAAGGTATAATACTCTTTGTTCAAAAATCTCCTAATTACTTTATGGTTATCATATAATTTTACTTTTATGATAATCATCTTACCAATCAAGCATTCACTGTAATTAATCATTTCCTGTAATGTCTTGTTGATAATACAATTATTGCAGATTTAGTAAATATTTAATAGTTTTGAAAGATTTCATCAGTATCTAAAGCTGAAGGGATTCAAAATTTGAATATTGCTAAGTCTTAAGAATAATTTCTTTTATTTTCATACAATTTCATGGCTGTCAGTTTATTTGAAGAGGAAACTCGGATATTAACAGATAAAGACCTGGCTTTTGACATGTAACTGACAAAACTCATCACTCATAACAGTATATTTTGAGTACTTTGCAACTTATCCAAATAATTGACGGAAATCTTGAAGTCATACTGTAGTGGTGATAGATTGACTCATTGATTACATGTTATTTTTAGGACCAAACTGTGATACATGTACAGACAACTACTTTGGAAATCCAAAGGATGTGAATGGTACATGTGAACCATGTATCTGTAATAATAATATTGATCCAAATATTGCTGGAAGTTGTGACACCTCATCAGGTGAATGTCTCAAGTGCTTGTTTAATACTGAAGGATTCAACTGTGAACAGTGTAGTCCTGGTTACTATGGTGATGCATCAAGCCAGAATTGTAAACGTAAGCATATACATGTATTATAATGTTGAGAATTAGATAAAAATAATTTGGTATGGTTTACTTTTCATGATTTTCCCCCCCTGTGGCTTTAACATGATTTATTCAGACTTTAGTATTATTTTCAAGATACCAATAATATCTTCTTTCATCTACCTCAAAACAGACATTAATTGCGTTAGAATGGCATTTTAGCACATATATACTCATTTTAAACCATAGAACATAAGCACCTGGGTCACTAACACATTTCTGTCACATTTTTCTCAACAATTACAAATAAGAGCTTCTTGATATTTGATATCAAGGTTCATATTGTAAGTTATACTGTGCGACCCTTTTCTTCCTGTTTGGATAATTGTCTCATGTTTTTCACATTGATTCTCATATAAGAAACTCATTTCTTTTCTCAATAACTACAAATAAGGATTTCTTGATATTGCAGGGCCCATCATATTGTTTTATTTTTTTAATTTTTCTGCAAGATAGATGTATCCCTTTGTTAGTATTTGTAATTTTGATTTTCAGAATGTATTTGTGATCCATATGGAACAGATCCAAATGGTGGAGACTGTGATAGAGTAACAGGACAATGTCCTTGTCTACCAAATGTCATTGGACAAAAATGTGATTCCTGTGCTCCTGGTTTCTGGAATATAACAAGTCAAATGGGTTGCTCTTCATGTGGCTGTGATTTGCCTGGATCTACTGGAATAGAATGCAATCAGGTACATGAAGGGCTATTTCATTAAAATGTATGTGGGAGGGTAGGAAGGGACTTTCAAAATATCCCTACAACCAAGAACCATTTTTTAGATAATTTTGCATAATGGTAATAGACGCATACTGAAAAAAGACCCATGACCCACATTCAATAATTAAACTTCCCTTCCTACCCTCCCACATACATTTTAATGGAATAGCCCTAATATAAGATTTCTCCAAGCTTTTTTTTGAACGAGAGTCACAGCCCTTTATGAGTCTGCAGTACATATCAATTAAAATGTTATAATCCTATTTCATAAAAAAAAGTGGACCAATGTCCGACTCAGACATTGATTAAACTTGTAATATTGATTTATCAAGTGCTAAATTTGCTTTGTAGTTTGATGGTCAATGTGAGTGTGTACAGGGAAGAGGAGGAAGAGATTGTGCCTCTTGTGAAGATAATTACTGGGGAGATCCTACTGTACAGTGTTATCGTAAGCTGACATTTTCATTATTCCTATTAATTAATATCTCCAGTTTGTTATGGTTTTTATGCCCCTGCCGTAGCTGAGGGGACATTAAGTTTTACCCTTGTCCATCTGTATGTCCGTCCATCCGTACATCTCAAAATTGGTTTCTGTTCTCTAACTTGAGTTTGCCTCGATCAAATTTTATGAAACATATTCACAATGCTTATTATCACAAAACACAGATCAAGTTTGAATTTGGGTGACATCACTTTTACCTTTCTAGAGTTATGCCCCTTTACAAATGAACCGTTTTTTATCTTCAGTTTGCCTCAACCAAATGTTATGAATCTTATACACAATGCTTATTACCACAAAACACAGATCAAGTTTGAATTTTGGTGGTGTCACTTTTACCGTTTTAGAGTTGTGTCCCTTTACAAATTGGTTTCTGTTCTCCAACTCAAGTTTGCCTTAACCAAATGTTATGAAACTTATACACAATACTTATAAGGTTTGCACTCCAACCGTCTGTCTGTCCATCCGTCAGTCCAGCAAATTAGTTTTCCACACTTTTTTTCTTCATGCTTAAAGATATTGTTTTGATATTTATTATATAGTTTTATCATGACCAGTTACAGATTAACTTCAAATTTTTTTCTGGTCTGATGATTTTATGAAGAGTTATGGTCCTTGGACTTAAAAAATTCAGGCAAATAATCAGTTTTTTTTTGGTCTGTTTTTATACGACCGCAAAAAAATTTTGAGGTCGTATATTGGTATGACGTTGGCGTCGTCGTCGTCGTCCGGCGTCGTCGTCCGAATACACAATGGTTTTCGCACTCTAACTTTAGTTTAAGTGAATGGATCTCTATGAAATTTTACCATAAGGTTCAATACCACAATAGGAAGGTGGGGATTGATTTTGGGGGTTATGGTACCAACAGTTAAGGAATTAGGGGCCAAAAAGGGGCCGAAAATAAGCATTTTTGTAACTTCCAGACATAACTTGTGTGTTAGCATATGGATCTCTTTGACATTGTACCACAAGATTCCATATCACAAAGGGTCAACGCTGGGATTGATTTTGGGGTTAATTGCCTCAAAATTTTAGGAATAAGGGGCCAAAAGGGGGCAAAAAACAAGCATTTTTCTAGTTTCATGACAATAACTTGTGTTTAAGTGTATGGATCTTTCTGAAATTTTACTACAAGGTTCCATTTCACAAAGGGAAAGCTGGAATTGAGTGTTGTGGTAATTGCCCAAAACGTTTAGTAATAAGGGGCCTAAAAAGGGGTTTAAAATAAGCATTTTTTAGTTTCTAGACAATAACTTGTGTTCAAGTGTATGGATTTCTCTAAAATTGTATTACAAGGTACCATACCACAAAGGCAAGGCTGTTATTGAGCTTGGTTTGGGGGAAAGGGGGGTGGGGGTGATGAATCATAAGGGGGGCGGGGGTCAAAAAAGGGGTAATTTTTTTTTTTCCTTTTTTTTTTTTTTTAAATTTCCATTTTAAGTTAGTTATTTTTTATCACGAAGAGAAAGTAGGAATTGAGTTTTGGGGTTAATTGCTCAAACATTTATGAATAAGGGGCCAAATATTGGTCGAAAATAAGGATTTTTTTAGTGTGCTCTAATGTTTAAGGAATAAGGGGAAAAAAGGTTAAAAAACAAGGGTTTCCATTTTAATAGACAAATAATTGAGTAAAGAACATTATTTAAAAGCAGTGTAAGGTTGGTAATTCAAACTCATTTAAATATCTCATCTACACTGCTTTTAAATTATGTAAATTGGAAATTTGCCAATAACTTTATTGTTAATAAATGCATTGGAAATTTGCCAACAATTTTAGTGTAATAAACTTCATTGGAAATTTGCCAATATAAAATTTTGCTGATGAAGGTTTTTTGTTTACCTTTAGCCTTGACTATGAAGTCATTTTCTATTTTTATAGCCTTATGATGTAGTTGAATTATTTAATACTTTTATGATGTGTTTAAATGGGGTTTTATCATGTTTATGGTTGCAAATTTATTGTTTTAGTATAATAAACTCCATTTAAAATTTGCCAATAAAAAAATTTTTTGTTTATTTTTAGCTATGATTATGATGTCATTTTCTATTTTACTTTTATGGTTGCAAAGAAATTTTTATTTTTAGATATTACTGTTAAATGATGCTGATTAAGGTTTTTGCTATGTTTAGCCATGACTATGATGTCATTTTCTATTTTAATATCTGTTATGATGTATTTAAATGGGCTTTTATGGTTACAAAGGAATTTTATTTTTAGATATTACTATAAAATGTTGCTGATGCTGATTAAGGATTTTGTTTATTTTTAGCCATGACTATGATGTCATTTTCTATTTTAATACCTTTATGATGTAATTTCCATTTTTATACGACCGCAAAAAAATTTTGTGGTCGTATATTGGTATGACGTTGGCGTCGTCGTCGTCGTCGTCGTCGTCGTCCGGCGTCGTCGTCCGAATACATATTGGTTTTCGCACTCTAACTTTAGTTTAAGTGAATGGATCTTTTTGAAATTTGACCATAAGGTTAAATACCACAAAAGGAAGGTTGGGATTAATTTTGGGGGTTATGGTACCAACAGTTAAGGAATTAGGGGCCAAAAAGGGGCCAAAAATGAGCATTTTCTAGTTTCCAGACAATAACTGTGGAACGGTGTATGGATCTCTCTGAAATTATACTACAAGTTTCCATACCACAAAGGGATGGTTAGGATTTGCTTTGGGGAGTTATGGCTCAAACCGTTTAGGAATTAGGGGCAGAAAAGGGGGAAAAACAAGGTTGTCCTGGTTAATGGACAAATACTTTAGTACAAAACATAATTTAAAGCAGTGTAAGGGAGATAAATCAAATACATCATTGAAATTATCTCCCTTACACTGCTTTTAAATTATGTATAAAGTAATGGTTAATGAACAATAAAGATAATCTAAAACAGTGTAAGGGAGGTAATCCAAATACAACGTTTTGGTTACTTCCCTTACACTGCTTTTAAATTATGTTTAAAGAAATGCATATTTATAAAGGAAGACCAGTAAAAATATCTGCAAATGTTTTCATCTTTTTTTTTTACAAAAAAATCCATATGAAAGATTTGACACTATATTTTTATTAATTCTATTATAAAATAGATTAAGTTAGCACTATGGTAAATTTAAATGGGTAATTATGGTTGCCAACTCCATTGGAAATTTGAATTGAGATTATGACCATATCTTGAGGGAAAGAATTTTTTTGGGGGAAAAAGGGGGGGGGATAAAAAGAAATTGTGGGGGGCCAATTTTTTCTCATTTCAGATTTCAGAAATTAAAAAGAATTATTCTTCAAATATTATTTTTTTTTCAAATTTCAAATATTGAAAAATTTCAAGAAGTAATCTTTAATTGCACAGTATGGCGCATTAGATTTGTAAAATCTTTGATCACATTTATTTATTTGTTATGCCGAATCTAACAGTGTATTTAGATTTTTAATTTTGGGTCCAGTTTTCAAATTGGTCTACATTAATGTCCAAAGGGTCCAAAATTAAACTTTGTTTGATTTTAGCAAAAATTGAATATATGAGGTTCTTTGATATGCTGAATCTAAACATGTATTTAGATTTTTGATTTTTGGCCCAGTTTTCAAGTTGGTCCAAATTGGGGTCCAAAATTAAACTTTGTTTGATTTCAACAAAAATTGAATATATGGGGTTCTTTGATATGCTGAATCTAACCATGTATTTAGATTTTTTATTTGTGGACCCCTTTATCTAATTGGTTCATATTGAGGTCAAAAGGGTCCAAAATTAAACTTTGTTTGATTTCATCTAAAATTGAATTATTGGGGTTCTTTGATATTCCAAATCTAACCGTGTATTTAGGTTTTTAATTTTGGGTCCTGTTTTTTAAATTGGTCTACATTGAGGTCCAAAGGGTCCAAATTAAACTTAGTTTGATTTTAACAAAAATTGGATTCTTGGGGTTCTTTGATTTGCTGAATCTAAACATGTGTTTAGATTTTTGATTATGGGCCCAGTTTTCAAGTTGGTCCAAGATAGGGTCCAGTATTTAAACTTTGTTTGATTTCAACAAAAATTGAATATATGGGGTTCTTTGATATGCTGAATCTAAACATGTATTTAGATTTTTGATTATGGGCCCAGTTTTCAAGTTGGTCCAAATTGGGGTCCAAAATTAAACTTTGTTTGATTTCAACAAAAATTGAATATATGAGGTTCTTTGATATGCTGAATCTAACCATGTATTTAGATTTTTTATTTGTAGGCCCCGCTATCAAATTGGTTCATATTGAGGTCAAAAGGGTCCAAAATTAAACTTTGTTTGATTTCATCGAAAATTGAATTATTGGGGTTCTTTGATATGCCAAATCTAACCGTGTTTTTAGATTTTTGATTTGGGTCCCGTTTTTTAAATTGGTCTTCATTGAGGTCCAAAGGGTCCAAAATTAAACTAAGTTTGAATTTAACAAAAATAGAATTCTTGGGGTTCTTTGATATGCTGAATCTAAACATGTGTTTAGATTTTTGATTATGGGCCCAGTTTTCAAGTTGGTCCAAGTTGGGGTCCAAAATTATACTTTTTTTGATTTCAACAAAAATTGAATATATGGGGTTCTTTGATATGCTGAATCTAACCATGAATTTAGATTTTTTATTTGTGGGCCCCGCTATCAAATTGGTTCATATTGAGGTCAAAAGGGTCCAAAATTAAACTTTGTTTGATTTCATCAAAAATTGAATTATTGGGGTTCTTTGATATTCCAAATCTAACCGTGTATTTAGATTTTTAATTTTAAGTCCCGTTTTTTAAATTGGTCTACATTAAGGTCCAAAGGGTCCAAAATTAAACTTAGTTTGATTTTAGCAAAAATTGAATTCTTGGGGTTCTTTGATATGCTGAATCTAAACATGTGTTTAGATTTTTGATTATGGGCCCAGTTTTCAAGTTTGTCCAAGTTGGGGTCCAAAATTAAACTTTGTTTGATTTTAACAAAAATTGAATATGTGGGGTTCTTTGATATGCTGAATCTAACCATGTATTTTGATTTTGGACATTGGACCATAATAGGTAAATTAAAAAAATTCAAGTTCTTAGACCACATTCTTTCTGTGTCAGAAACCTATGCTGTGTCAAATATTTAATAACAATCCAAATTCAGAGCTGTATCAAGCTTGAATGTTGTGTCCATACTTGCCCCAACTGTTCAGGGTTCGACCTCTGCGGTCGTATCAAGCTGCGCCCCAGCGAAGCATTTTATTAGATATTACTGTTAAATGATGCTGATTAAGGGTTTTTTGCTATGTTGAGCCATGACTATGATGTCATTTTCTATTTTAATATCTTTATGATGTATTTAAATGGGCTTTTATGGTTACAAAGGAATTTTATTTTTAGATATTACTTTAAATGTTGCTGATTAAGGATTTTTGTTTATTTTTAGCCATGACTATGATGTCACTTTCTATTTTAATACCTTTATGATGTATTTAAATGGGCTCCCATGTATTTAGATTTTTGATTATTTATACATGTTACCAAATTGGTCCACATTGAACAAAAACGGTCCAAATTTCAACTTTATTACATTACATCAAACATTGAATTCTACATATTCTTTGATATATTGAAATTAACAAACAATTTAGTTTATGGAGATTCCACCATAATAGGTAAATTAAATTTTTTCCAGTTCTTACACCACATTCATCCTGTGTCAGAAACCTATGCTGTGTCAAATATTTAATGACAATCCAAAGTCATAGCTGTATCAAGCTTGAATTTTGTGTCCATACTTGCCCCAACTGTTCAGGGTTCGACCTCTGCGGTCGTATCAAGCTGCGCCCCAGCGAAGCATTTTATTCATAAACTATAAGCAATAGGTCAACTATATTTGTTGGATGGAAGAATTGCTAGCTGTACATGCCTGCCTAGCATGGTTCATCTGACCTTGACCTCATTTTCATGGTTCATTGGTCAATGTTTAGTTTACTTGGTTAATGTTAAGTTTATGTGACAGTTGTAATAAAGCTTTATATTTAGGACTATCAACATAATATCAATGATTAGTAAAGAAGGCGAGACATTTCAGCGTGTGCACTCTTGTTTTATCATCATGCTTGAAGAAATTGATTTGATTTTTACTATTACAAGTTACAGATCAAGTTCAAATTTTGTTTGGTTCGAATGATTATTTTGCAGAGTTAAAGTCCTCGGATATAGAAAATTCACAATAATAACCAGTTTTCCACACTTTTTTTCATCATGCTTGAAGATATTGATTTGATATTTGTTATATAGTTTACACCATGACAAGTTATAGATCAAGTTAGCATTTTGTTGTAGTACAATGAATTTTTAACCAGTAGGGGACTATGTATTGCCATGCAATACTCTCAGAATGCTTGTTACCACAAAACTCAGATCAAGTATGAATTTGGGGAGTGTCATGTAACAGTAATGATACATTACCAGTATGATTGACAACTGCCATGATCACCAAACAATCAGACAAGGTGGAGCCTTAATTACAATGTTTCACCTCTTTAAATGCCAATCATATAAATCAAATTACTAAACAACCTCAGTCTTACATAATTAAACAGACCCTTCATTATACATCTCAATACACAAATATTTGACCTCATTATTGAATACACAAATGTATATATAAAAAGTTTGATATATAGAAATGATAGATTTATTCATTGCCTATTACTTTTGATCTACACTACATAAAGTGATTCTATTAATTATGTCTTAAAGTTAAATGATAAGGGATTAACAAGATTATTTTTTTTAAACAAAAGACACAATATGAAATCTATATATATATAAAAAAGAGTATTCAAGTGTTGAATACAGGAAGTGTATCTTTGCAATTAATACTGAATCCCCATTTCAATAAAATAAGTTTTTTAATTTGTTGATGTTGAAAAAGTACATTTTCAATGTCCTCTACTATTAATATATTAGAATTGGACATTGATAAAAACTCAAGAGGTTTTTTGGACCTTTACTTGAAGTTAATTAGCTTTATATTTTTACAACTTAATCTTATTTAATCCCTTGTTTATTTAACTATTCTCTCTATTCCTACATGCATTGTTTACAAATGACATACCAGATTTCAAATGTAGGAATAGGAGGAATAAACCCATGTTCTTTTTTGTCCACAACATACCTAAATATGATTTGAAATTATTCAAAATACTTTTCCAATCTTTCCATGAGTGATTTCCATCACTTTGATTTATTAAGATTCTTTCTCAATTGAATATTTCAATGCCCCTTTTTTGTACTTTTTAGCTTGTGACTGTAACTACCAAGGCTCTGCTCAGACTCAGTGTGACAGAAGGTCAGGTCAATGTGTATGTCTGACAGGTATCAGTGGTTACAAATGTGATCGTTGTGATAGAGGCACCACAGGAGAACTCCCCAACTGTAAGCCCTGCGGAGATTGTTTCAACAATTGGGACAGAGTGATCAGAGACTTGTCAGGTAACTTTCTAGAATGGTTTAGTAGTTTAAGTTGTGCATAAACTTGAGAGAGCAGAGGGATTATCTTTTACTCATCTCATCTTAAAGTATGATTATCAAATGAAAAATTCTCCAGTATCAAATATTTTTACACATCTACACCCCCCTTAGAATTCTTTGCCAACTATAAGTTAGGTGAATTTTTAATTAGAATACCGTAACTCGAATAGAAAGAAATGATGATCTATAGTTATACTTGCCAAAAAAGATTATTTATCAATCTCTGATAACATTTATATTAGTTCTTACTGTTAGATGGATTTCCTTTGAATACTCTAGCAAAACTTCTTACACAATTAAGATTTTTTCTTTGCAATGTTCTGAAATACCTCAAATAATGTTCATCCATCTTATAATTTGATATCATCAATTGTGTGTTGTTCCAAAAGCAAAACATGGATCTTCTCAGTTCTTGTACTGATGTGAACATCTGCTACATGATCTGTAACTACTTTTTAACATATACAAATGGATTTCAATGAAACTTTTACCAAATCTTCATCTTTAATTCCAACTTAATTATCCTGAATATATTTCACTTTTTGTTCAGAATGACATTTTTTATTTGTAGAAAAATAAACACCATCTTCATCCTGTTTGGTATACACAATTGAATAACGAGATTATTTTCGCATGCAAAACTTTTTTTCCAAGCATTGTCTCACTCAACATACAATTTTTTCATAAGTGATCAAATATATTGATGAAGACTTAATTTTTTTTTTAAATATAGTTACAGGAACCCAAAATTAAGTTACTGAAAAACAGGCAGCTAAAATTTAGTAACAGAAAAGAAGACACCTAAAGTTTAGTAACTGAAAAGTAGACCCCCCAAATTAAATTACTGACAAGTAGGAAAGAGACTGAAACATGGTATTTAGGAAAACTCCAAACTTTAATAGTTTAAAATTCATGTATGAAACAATTTTTCAGCCCAAACAACAGACTTGATCAAACGAGCGGTAGACATCAAAGCAACAGGTGTAGAAAGTGCCTTTAATAAGGAATTTCAGCAAATGGAGGAAAATTTGGATGAAATAAGACAGATTGTCAGAAATGCCAACATTTCTTCAGAAGATATTAGAGATTTAGATAGTATGTTAAAATCTCTCAGGTAAGCTTTTTTTTCAAAAAAAAGTTTAGGAATTGCATAACAGAAATATACACAGAAAAACTTTTCCCCCTTTATTAGTGACTTCAAAAAAATAATGAAGTTGAAAATCTGAAATCTTAATAAATTTGAAAACATTTGATATTTAAATTTAGTAATGATATAAATACAAAGATTTATAATATCAGATAGTATGATTCAGTGGTAAGATGATTGATTGTCACATACTTAAATCCATCAGCAAATATCTCATGCATATTCAGGACAAGAACAATTAATAAATACAAAAGGTAGGTTCTAAAAAGTACATCAACTGGAAAATTTGGAATACCACTTGAAAATGAGGGTATATTGGAAGGGTTAAGAAGGGTTTTACTGCCAGACAGAGGTCCAGGGAGGACCATATTTCGATACCCAAGTCAACACTTCAGGTTCAATGAATAATGGGTCTAAATGTGAAATGAATTCATAGTTTTGAGAGAAATAGCCGAATTCACAATGTGCAATCAGTCCAAAATAGAATCATGTTCATTTATGCTTTCTTTTTATTATTTTTTGTTCTTTTGTCTTTTTTAACATAGGCAGCTTTTATCAGATGAGTTTAGAAGATTGAATAACACTGAAAATCAGTTTAATGCAAGAATGGATGATATAAGAAAAGGAAATAATGATATTTTATCACTTAAACAAAGAGTGGAGGAATTGAAGAAAAAGGCTGATGATTTGAGGAGAAATGCAACAGACATTCAGGCCAGAGATGTAGAAGGTAATGTTCAATAATACAGTGAACAATTAATGAACACACCTCCATAATAAATCTTTAAAAAAGTCTTGTCAAGCAACAGAATTAAACATACTGAGAGCCAAAAGAAATTCATGATGTGATTGTTTAAAATAATGGGGAACTTTGAAATTTTCAGTTTTGCAGATATATACTGAACTCAAAAAAGGCCATGTCAGCTATTGCTATCACTTAGCCTCTGTCGTCCATTAACTTCTCACATTTTAATTTGCTTGAATGAAACCATTGGGCCAAGTTTAACCAAATTTGGCAGGAATGATGTATGAAGGTCCTTTACAAACTATCCTTATTTGTTTCCAATCAGAAGAAAAACATGGCCTTCAGATCAACCAATTTAATATTCTGATAGACCAATTTAAAAAAAAAATGTCTCTGAAACTACGAGGCGAAATGTTTTGAAACTTAAGATAAACGATTGAAAGACCCTACTGTCGATTCTAATTTAATGTTGATTGTGTTACAAACATGGTGGCATTGATGACACATAGTTCCTATTGAAGCCTTTATGGGAAATCGCATTTTCATAATTTTCTACTTGACCAGGAATGATGCAAGGAAATTCCCTACAAATAATCCTTATTTGATTTCGATCAAATGAAAAACATGTCCGCCAGAAAAAATCTTCCATTCTGAATTTTGAAAAAGTATCCATTGAAACTTGAAGGCACAATGTTATGAAATGTTAAAACCTCCAAAAAGTTGTTGCCAAAATATAATCAACACCATCAAATTTTTGTCTCCAATTTCAAATTACTTGCTCAAAGTTCTATGTCCCCCTCTTTTCAGACATGCATCACATTTTATGAAGTTGAAAAAGCAAGACTTAAGCTTGCTGTTTCCAGCAAAGTCGTCAGTAGCAGTGTTAACAATGTACATGTATTAGTTTGTGATTAGGTCAGTTTAAGGGGAACCACTAATGGTAGGTCAATGATATTGGTATGCAGTTGAATTTGTATTTGCACATATCATTTCCATGGAGATTGTATGGCCCTTTCCCCTCAATCAGGGTCTACGGACTTTGAAACTTTTGCTTAGTTTACATGTTAAAGTTTATGTTTAGGTTAGTTTAAAGGTAGCTATTTTTATACGCCTGTTGAAGACTGGGCGCATTATGGTATACCAATGTCCGTTTTCCATCTGTCAGTCAACACCTCTTACAATAACTCAATTTGCTTTGACCAATTGTCATATAACTTGAACACAACATTAGAATTAATGGAAGAAAGCTCCCTTTTGATTTAATTGTGGGGATTGATGAAAGGAAACTCCCTTTTTATACGACTGCAAACAAATTTTTGGGATCGTATAATGGTATGATGTCGTCGTCTGCGTCCGAAAATCGATTGGTTTCCGGACAATAACTTTAGTTGAAGTGTATGGATCTCTATGAAATTTTTTAAGAAGGTTCAATACCACAAAAGGAAGGTTGGGATTGATTTTGGGGATGATTGTCCCAACCGTTTAGGAATTAGGGGCCCAAAAAGGGGCCCAAAACAAGCATTTTTCCAGTTTCAGGAAAAAAACTTGTGTATTAGTATTTCGATTGCTCTGAAATTGTACCACAATGTTTAATACCACAAGTAGAAGGTTGGGATTCATTTTAGGGGTTATGGGGGCCAACAGTTAAGGAATTAAGGGCCAAAAAGAACCAAAAACAAGCATTTTTCTAGTTTCCAGACAATAACTTATGTGTAAGTGTATGGATCTCTCTGACATTGTACCACAAGGTTCCATATAACAAAGGGAAGGCTGGGATTGAGTTTGGGGTTAATTGCCCCAAACATGTAGGAATTAGGGGCCAAAACAAGCATTTTTATACGACCACGACTGCAAAAATATTTTGCGGTCATATATTCGTATGACGTTGTCGTCATCGTCATCCAAAGACACATTGGTTTTCGCACTCTAACTTTAGTTTAAGTGAATGGATCTCTATGAAATTTTACCATAAGGTTCAATACCACAAAAGGAAGGTTGGGGGTTATGGTACCAACAGTTAAGGAATTAGGGGCCAAAAATAAGCATTTTTGTAAATTCCAGACATAACTTGTGTGTTAGTGTATGGATCTCTCTGACATTGTACTACAAGGTTCCATATCACAAAGGGAATGCTGGGATTGATATTGGGGTAATTGCATCAAAATTTTAGGAATTAGGGGTAAAAAAAACAAGCATTTTTCTAGTTTCATGACAATAACTTGTGTGTAAGTGTATGGATATTTCTGAAATTGTACTACAAGGTTCCATATCCCAAAGGGAAAGCTGGAATTGAGTTTGGGGGTAATTGCCCAAAACATTTAGGAATAAGGGGCCAAAAAGGGGCCAAAAATAAGCATTTTTCTAGTTTCCAAACAATAACTTGTGTTCAAGTGTAAAGATCTCTCTGAAATTGTACTGCAAGGTACCATACCACAAAGGGAAGGCTGGGATTGATTTTGGGGGTAATTGCCTCAAAATTTTAGGAATTAGGGGCCAAAAAGGGGCAAAAAAACAAGCATTTTTCTAGTTTCAGGACAATAACTTGTGTGTAAGTGTATGGATCTTTATGAAATTGTACTACAAGGTTCCATATCACAAAGGGAAAGCTGGGTTTGAGTTTGGGGGTAATTGCCCTGAACATTTAGGAATTTGGGGCCAAAAAGGGGCCTAAAAACAAGCATTTTTCTAGTTTCCAGACAATAACTTGTGTGTAAGTGTATGGATCTCTCTGAAATTGTACTGCAAGGTACCATACCACAAAGGGAAGGCTGGGATTGAGTTTGGGGGTGATGAAACATAAGGGGGTTCAAAAAATCTGGGGGAAGGATTTTTTTTTCCTTTTTTTTTCTTTAAAATTTTCCATTTTAAATTGGTTATTTCTGATTTATATATAAAAGCAAATAATAATGATATGGTTTGAATAGGTAAATTAAAATTTTTTAAGTTCTTAGACCACATTCATTCTGTGTCAGAAACCTATGCTGTGTCAAATATTTAATTACAATCCAAATTCAGTGCTGTATCAAGCTCGAATGTTGTGCCCCTACTTGCCCCAACTGTTCAGGGTTTGACCTCTGCGGTCCTATCAAGCTGCGCCCAGCGGAGCATTTTATTCTAGTTTCCAGACAATAACTTGTGTGTAAGTGTATGGATCTCTCTGAAATTGTACTACAAGGTTCCATACTACAAAGGAAAGGCTGGGATTGAGTTTTGGGGTTATTGCTCCAAGGGGGTTTCAAAAAGATGGGGGGGGGGGGGGGGGATTTTTTTCCCAATTTTTTTAAGGGATTCATATTTTTTTTTTTAAATTTTCAAAATTTTGAATTTTTGAAAAGTTTCAAGAAGAAATCTTCAATTGCACTGTATTGCGCAATGGATTTATAAGATCTTTGACCACATTTATTTTGTGTCAGAAACCTATAATATGTCAAAAATTTGATCACAATCCAAATTCACACAGTATCAAGCTTGAATATTGTGTCCAAATTTGCCCCAACTGTTCAGGGTTTGACCTCTGCGGTCGTATCAGGCTGCGATCAGCAAAGCATTTTATTGACCTTTGCTGCAGAGTTATGGAACTTTGTCAGATTTTAATAAAATTTTCACTTGTTGAACAATAACTTGAGTTTGCTTGGATTGATTTAGTGTAGAATTTACATAATTGTTGGAGTTTGTGAACATAACAAACTGTTTGATTTAAACGATATCCTCAGGCATATTTTCTAAAGAGCCATTTTATTTGCTTATGATTAAATGCCTTCGAAATATCCCATTTTATTCTTGTAATAATCTCAATATGCACAATAAGGGTGTATCATGCACCCCTTGTGCAGCTGTTTATTTGAAACAACTTTTTTATTTTTACAATAGGTGCCTTCAACATTACAAAGGAGGCACAGCAAAAGTCCAGAATGGCACAGTCTAAAGTTGATGGAACACAGGGAATGCTGAATGAGTCTATGAAAACAAGAGCTGAAGTGGAGAAAATGCTTGAGGAAAACCGTAATGCATTTAATCAGAAAATACAGGAAAATGAAGCTGAACTGAATGAGATTGATGACAAAGTATCAAGTCTTGGTAGTAGAATAGCTGATCTTAATGAAATGGTAAAAAAAAATTTTCTTTGCCATAGCACCATTCATCTCCAGTTATTTGTGGGTTTTTTGTTGCTCATTCTTAGTTTTCACTGTAATGTTGAGTATAATGTTGTTTACCACTTTTTTATGCCCCCGCCGTAGCGGAGGGGGCATTAAGTTTTACCCTTGTCTGTCTGTACGTACGTCCCAAAATTGGTTTCCGTTCTCTAACTTGAGTTTGCCTCAACCAAATGTTATGAAACTTATACACGATGCTTATTACCACAAAATAAAGATCAAGTTTGAATTTTGGTAGCGTCACTCTAACTGTTCTAGAGTTATGCCCCTTTATAAATGGAAAAATTACAAAATTTTTAGTTTCCTTTCTCTCACTTAAGTTTGCCTCAACCAAATGTTATGAAACTTATACACAATGCTTATTACCACAAAATACAGATCAAGTTTGAATTTTGGTAGCGTCACTCTAACAGTTCTAGAGTTATTCCCCTTTATTGTCGAGCCTTCAACTTTTGTCGAAAAAGCGAGACATAGCGATCCTACATTCCATCGGCGGCGGAGCCCACAAATATTCACTCTGTGGTTAAAGTTTTTAAAATTTTGATAACTTTTAAACTATCCTGGATTTCTACCAAACTTGGAAAGAAGCTTGTTTATGATCATAAGATAGTATCCAGAAGTAAATTTTAAAAAAAAAATCCTATTTTTCCGTATTTTACTTATAAATGGACTTAGTTTTTCTGCCAGGAAACATTACATTCACTCTGTGGTTAAAAGTTTTTAAAATGTTGATAACTTTCTTAAACTATCCTGGATTTGTACCAAACATGGACAGAAGTTTGTTTATGATCAAAAGCTAGTATCTAGAAGGAAATTTTTATTAAAATTTTGTACTTTTTTATCCCTATTTTACCTATAAATGGACTTAGTTTTTCTTCCAGTTAACATTACATACAGTCTGCAGTTAAATTTTTTAAAACATTTATTAGATTCATAAACTATCCTGGATTTTTACCAAACTTGGACAGAAGCTTCTAACAATAAAAAAATTGTATCGAGAGGAATGTTTTTATTAAATTTTTCCTCATCTCATTTTTGTTGAGCCTGCAATTAACAGCCAAAGTAGGCGAGACACTGGTTTCCACGGAACCCTTACGAATTTTAAATGGAAAAATTGCAAAATGTTTAGTTTCTGTTCTCTAACTTAAGTTTGCCTCAACCAAATGTTATGAAACTTATACACAATGCTTTTTACCACAAAACACAGATCAAGTTGAATTTTGGTGGCGTCACTTTAATCATTATCGAGGTATGCCCCTTTATAAATCGAAAAAGATTGCAAAATGTTTAGTTTCCGTTCTGTAACTTAAGTTTGCTCCAACCAACCGTTATGAAACCTTTACACAATACTTATTACCACAAAACTTAGATCAAGTACAAATTTAGGTAGCGTCACTTTTATTGTTCTTGAGTTATGTCCCTTGATAATGTTGTATGCAAGCGGGGGCATCATCTGTGTCCATGGGGACACATTCTCCATTTATTTTACCTCACCTGGCCTAAAAGGCCAAGTGAGCTTTTCTCATCACTTGGCATCCGTTGTCCGGCATTGCTGTCGTGTCCGTCTTAGTTGTCTTGTTAACTTTTACAAAAATCTTCGCTGCTGAAACTACTGAGCCAAATTTGATAAAATTGGCCACAATCATCATTAGGGTATCTTGTTTAAATAATGTGTTTGATGACCCTGCGTTCCAACAAATATGGCCAACATGGCTAAAAAAATAACATAGGGGTAAAATGCAAGTTTTGTCTTATTGTCTTGAAAACTGCTATAAATAGAGAAAAATCTGCCGGGGGCAAAAATGTTCAAAATGATGAGATCTACATATTGTCTATTTCCTTCAAAACTGTCAGACGACTTCTTATATGAGTTATTGCCCTTAGATGATGAATTTTACTGATTTTTTTTTCATGTTTGCCTAATATCTGAAAAACTATAATAGGTAGGGAGAAACTTATATACAAAGAATGATCAACAAGACAAGATCTACAAATAAGTCCAATGGTCGAAATCATCAGACGACTCCTTATTGGAGTTATTGCCCTTTAACGACAATTTTTTTTGCGTTTTTGCCTAATATCCAAAAAACTATTACAGATTGATAGAAACTGAAATAAGCGAAATAATCAGCAAGACAAGATCCACAAATAAGTTGCCAGTGTTGAAATTGCCTGACAACCCCTTATTGAAGTTATTGCTCTTTGATAAGGATTTTTACCATTTTTTTGCGTTTTTGCCTAATATCTGAAAAAACTATAATAGATAGATAGAAACATAATTAAGCAAAAGTGATCAGCAAAACTTGATCTACAAATAAGTCAAATAACGGAAATCACCAGTCGACTCCTTGTAGGAGTACTTGCTCTTTAATGATGATTTATACCAATATTCTACATTTTTGCCTATCTTGAAAACTATAAAAGATAGATAGACACTTTAAATAGCAAAAATGATCTACAAATAAGTTAAATGTTGCCAACATTGTTGATTTACTCTTTATAGGAGTGATACACCTTATCGCTATTCCTGCTTGACCCGAGAATCTGTCCCGCTCGAACTTTTGACGTCATACAACAATCACTTTTCCATTGTGGCGTCAGACATTTTCTATTATGACGTCAAAATTTTACAGGAACTTATGTGATGTCCAGTAATGGCGGACAAATAGCGATAAGGTGTATTGCCTTAACTGATATTTTTTTACAGTTTTTTTGTGTTTTGGGCAAAAATTAAAGAAAATAGAGAGAAACTTACATGTAAACAGAAAAAATTATCAGCAATACAAGATCAACAAACAAAAAAAAAAATTTTTTTTCTTCATGAATTCTATTTAAGTCCACAATGTTGGCGAGAGTCCATTGTTGAAGATGCTCATAGACCTAGGTGAGCGACACAGTGTCTTTAGAGCCTCTAGTTTCATTTTTGCCTATTATCTTTAAACCTATCATAGATAGAGAGAAACTTTAAATGGCAAAAGTGATAAGCAAGACAATATCTATAAATGAGTGAACATGGCCCAAACCATCAGTCAACTCTTTATTGGAGTTGTTGTCCTTAAAGATGATTTTTACCAATTTTTTGCATTATTGCCTTTTTTTAATCTTAAAAACTATAAGAGATAGATAGAAGCTTTAAAAATCAAAAGTGATCAGCAAGACAAGATCTACAAATAAATCTACTGGCCAATGTTTTCAGTTGAATCTTATTGGAATAATTGCTCTTCAATAACGATTTGTACCTTTTTTTTGGTGTTTTTGCCAAACTATAATAGATAGATAGACACTTTACATAGCAAAAATGATCAGCAAGACAGGATCTGTGTATAGGTCTAATTTTCTCTAGTAGACTCTTTATAGGAGTTATTGCCCTTAAATGATGATTTATTATTTTTTATCCTTTTTTGTGTTTTGGCCAAAAACTCAAGAAGATAGAGAGAAGCTGTAAACAGAGGTAATGATCAGCAATACAAGAAAAAAAAATAGGTTTTTGTCATGAATTATATTCTAGTCTACCATGTTGGAGAGTCCATTGTTGAAGGTGCACATAGACCTAGGTGAGCTAGAGCCTCTACTTTATTCTTTTGACCTTGACATTGTCTGTCTTTCTAATGGTTTTGATTGCTTTCTTAATGTCTTCTCCACCCCTTTTAATATTCAATACAGGGTATAACAACAACTTTTTTTTAGTTTATTATTACCTCCATATCTGACTTGTTTGATACTGCTTTAGAGTCTTTGTAAATTAAAAGATTATGCTTGAGAAAGGAAAAGCTACATTTTGGGGCTTATTTAGCCCTGTTAATTCACAAAAAATTAAACATTGTTTAATCACAATTTTTAAGCATCAGTAGAAAGGCTTTTCAGAAAATATGAATATTAACCAAACCTTAAAGACACAATTTAACTGTGATGTCTTTAAAGTGATGTTTGTAAGAGATATTTGTAAGATTTTTAATTAAAATAGGCTAGTTGTTAGAACACTTTGGCTAAATAAACATAAAGCATAACCCAAAATTATTTTTGTAAGATTTTTAATTAAAATAGGCTAATTGTTAGAACATTTTGGCTCAATAAATAAAGCATAACCCAAATTTTTTTAGGGCTAATCTGGCCCCAAAATTGTACCGTGTCCTTTGCATATGTTTATCCATTTAGACATTTATGTAGGTGTATCAGTAATATTTTAGCATAATAAATATTTGAAAATCATAAAACCTTTGGTTTTTATAAGCCCGTTTACAGGACGTATTATGGTATACCGATGCCGTCTGTCCGTCGTCAACATGTCGGACATTAACTCAAAAATGCTTTAACCAATTTGCATAAAACTTTTTGAATTGTTTTATCTATTGACGTGAGCTCCCTTTCGTTTTTTATAATATTTAGATTTTACGTTTCCGAGTTACAGGGTTTTATTCATAAAAAAAGGGGGGATTTTCCAGTTTTCGGACAAAAAACTCAAAAATGCTTTCAGCATTTCTTATGAAACTTTGGTGAATTGTTTGTATATATTGATGTAAGCTCCCTTTAGAATTTTATAAATTTTACATTTTACATTTCTGAGTTATGGGGTTTTGTTCATTAAAAAAAGGGGTGATTTTCCAGTTTTCGGACAATCAGTCAAGAAAGCTTTCACCAACTTGCAAGAAATTGTGATGAATTGTTTATATCAATTGACATGAGCTCCCTTTCGATTTTTATAAATTTTAGATTTTATGTTTCCGAGTTACAGGGTTTTATTCATAAAAAATGGGGTGATTTTCCAGTTTTCGGACAAAAAACTCAAAAATGCTTTCAGCAATTCTTATGAAACTTTGGTGAATTGTTTGTATGTATTGATGTAAGCTCCCTTTAGAATTTTATAAATTTTACATTTTACATTTCTGAGTTATGGGGTTTTGTTCATTAAAAAAAGGAGTGATTTTCCAGTTTTCGGACAATAACTCAAAAATGCTGTCACCAATTCTCATGAAACTTTGGTGAATTGTTTATATCTATTGATGTAAGTTCCCTCGTTATTTTCATAAATTTCTAATATGACATTGAGAATTAATTGAACTTTATATGTTTATAGACTAACAACAGATTTACTAAGTATTGCACAACAGCAAGAAATCTTTAATTGAATATAAATTCAATTCAACCAATTTCAAGTTCTTTGACTACATTTATTCAGAAACCTATAATATGTCAAATATTTATTTTTTATACTTTGTTGACTAATGATTGGTTTTTTTTATACTTTGTGGACTATGAAAAATTTTACATTTATGTCCAGGTGCTAACATTTTGATGTATTTATCTTGAAAGCAGAGCATCTGTGTCTTACTTACTACTGCTAAATTAAGCTTTACTTCTACATTACAGGTTTGTGATGGAAGAGGGGACCCTTGTGATGATGTCTGTGGAGGTGGTGGATGTGGCAAGTGTGGAGGAATCAGTTGTGATGGAGGTGCTCTTACCAAAGCTGACAATGCCATAGATCGGGCCAACCAAGCAAAACTGTTATTAGACATTAAAGAAGTAGATGCCAATACAATGCTTACAGAGGTATAAAGAAATAAAAAAAACTTATGTAATCAACGATTTTGTCTTGCTCCTCATTGGCCCTTTTAAAGCTTATATGGTTAGTAGTACTTTTATTGAAGTAAAATTTAGCTTAGATATGAAAACAACTGAAGTGTCAGTTATACAGGTCATACTGATTATAATTGATAGAATTGAAGCTGACATCAACCAATAAATCATCTATATACGTAGGTGACCTCAACCAATGAATCATCTAGATGCTTGAGTGACATCAACCAATAAATCATTTGTATATTTAGTGACATCAACCAATAAATCATTTCCCTTAGCTATTTAGGCCTAAAAAAAAAATCTGTGTTTCCGGTAACATCATTTTTGTCGAGCCTGCGACTTTTGTCGCAGAAAGCTCGACATAGGGATAGTGATCCGGCGGCGGCGGCGGCGTTAGCTAACTTCTTAAAAGCTTTATATTTTAGAAGGTGGAAGACCTGGATGCTTCATACTTTGTATATGGATGCCTCATGTTACGAAGATTCTGTCAGTCACATGTCCAATGTCCTTGACCTCATTTTCATGGTTCAGTGACTACTTGAAAAAAAAGTTAACATTTTTTGTAATGTTAAATTCTCTCTTATTATAAGTAGTAGGATAACTATATTTGGTATATGCGTACCTTGCAAGGTCCTCATGCCCGTCAGACAGTTTTCACTTGACCTCGACCTCATTTCATGGATCAGTGAACAAGGTTAAGTTTTGGTGGTCAAGTCCATATCTCAGATACTATAAGCAATAGGTCTAGTATATTTGGTGTATGGAAGGACTGTAAGGTGTACATGTCCAACTGGCAGGTGTCATTTGACCTTGACCTCATTTTCATGGTTCAGTGGTTATAGTTAAGTTTTTGTGTTTTGGTCTGTTTTTCTTATACTGTATGCAATAGGTCTACTATATTTGGTGTATGGAATGATTGTAAGGTGTACATGTCTAGCTGGCAGGTGTCATCTGACCTTGACCTCGTTTTCATGGTTCAGTGGTCAAAGTTAAGTTTTTGAGTTTTGGTCTTTTTTTCTAATACTATATGCAATAGGTCAACTATATTTGGTGTATGGAAATATTTTATGATCTATATGTCAGTCGCGCAGGTTTTATATGACCTTGACCTCATTTTCACGGTTCATTGCTCAGTGTTAAGTTTTTGTGTTTTGGTCTGTTTATCTTAAACTATAAGCAATAGGTCAACTATATTTGTTATATGGAAGAATTGTTAAACTGTACATGTCTGCCTGGCATGGTTCATCTGACCTTGACCTCATTTTCATGGTTCATTGGTCAATGTTTAGTTTTCTTGGTTAATGTTAAGTTTATGTGACAGTTGTAATAAAGCTTTATATTTAGGACTATCAACATAATATCAATGATTAGTAAAGAAGGCGAGACATTTCAGCGTGTGCACTCTTGTGTTAAATAGGGTCGGTAGGTCGGATTATTTTTTTTTTTTTTTTTTTTTTTTTTTTTTTTTTTTTTTTTGACATTGTAAACGAAATCCGAAAAATTATCATGGTTTTTCCAAGTCCGTGTCCGTAATTAGTTTCAAATACCGGAAGTGCGGCCATTTGCAATGTTTTTGAAGCACCTGCTGTGCAAATTTCTTGGATTTTAACCTATTTGGAATACCTTTTGACATAAATAAAATGTTTTACTGGCTTTCTGTGCAGTTAGATAAATAATTATGTCGATTAACAGAAGCCTGTGTCAAAAACAGGGTCAGTTGATACCAATTTTTTTTTTTTTTTTTTTTTGAAGATCCAATAAAAAAATTAGGGTCGGGGCTAAAAAAACACGGTCGGTCGGGTTACCGGAAACACAGATTTTTTTTTCTCTGCCTTATAAAAGTTTTAAAGGACCCCAAATTTTTATATGACCGCAAAAAAAATTTTGTGCTCGTATATTGGTATGACGTTGGCGTCGTCGTCGTCCGAAGACACATTGGTTTTCGCACTCTAACTTTAGTTTAAGTGAATGGATCTCTATGAAATTTTACCATAAGGTTTAATACCACAAAAGGAAGATTGGGATTGATTTTGGGGGTTATGGTACCAACAGTTAAGGAATTAGGGGGCCAAAAATAAGCATTTTTGTAACTTCCAGACATAACTTGTGTGTTAGTGTATGGATCTCTCTGACATTGTACCACAAGATTCCATATCACAAAGGAAATGCTGGAATTGATTTTGGGGGTAATTGCCTCAAAACTTTAGGAATTAGGGGCCAAAAAAGGGGCAAAAAACAAGCATTTTTCTAGTTTCATGACAATAACTTGTGTGTAAGTGTATGGATCTTTCTGAAATTGTACTACAAGGTTCCATATCACAAAGGGAAAGCTGGAATTGAGTTTGGGGGTAATTGCCCAAAACGTTTAGGAATAAGGGGCCAAAATAAGCATTTTTCTAGTTTCCAGACAATAACTTGTGGTCAAGTGTATGGATCTCTCTGAAATTGTACTGCAAGGTACCATACCTCAAAGGGAAGGCTGGGATTGATGATGGGGGTAATTGCCTCAATATTTAAGGAATTAGGGGCCAAAAAGGGGCAAAAAACAAGCATTTTTCTAGTTTCCAGACAATAACTTGTGTTCAAGTGTATGGATCTCTCTGAAATTGTACTGCAAGGTACCATACCACAAAGGGAAGGCTGGGATTGACGATGGGGGTAATTGCCTCAATATTTTAGGAATTAGGGGCCAAAAAGGGGCAAAAAACAAGCATTTTTCTAGTTTCAGGACAATAACTTGTGTGTAAGTGTATGGATCTTTCTGAAATTGTACTACAAGTTTCCATATCACAAAGGGAAAGCTGGGTTTGAGTTTGGGGGTAATTGCCCTAGACGTTTAGAAATGTGGGGCCAAAAAGGGGCCAAAAAACACATTTTTCTAGTTTCCAGACAATAACTTGTGTTCAAGTGTATGGATCTCTCTGAAATTGTACTGCAAGGTACCATACCACAAAGGGAAGGCTGGGATTGAGTTTGGGGGTGATGAATCATAAGGGGGTTCAAAAAATTTGGGGGGGGGGGGGATTTTTTTTTTTTTCCTTTTTTTTTATTTTTTTCCTTTTTTTTTCTTTTAAAATTTTCCATTTTAAGTTGGTTATTTCTGATTTATATTTAAGAGCAAATAATAATGATATGGTAGGAGATACACACCGAACAGGATGTGTAAATTATTATATAATAAGTATTGTGCAATAGCAAGAAATTTTCAATTGCACAGTATTGCACAATAGCAAGAAATCTTCAATTGCACAGTATTGTGCAATAGCAAGAAATCTTCAATTGTACAGTATTGTGCAATAGCAAGAAATATCCAATAGCACAATATTGCGCAATAGCAAGAAATTGTCAATTGTACAGTATTGCGCAATAGCAAGAAATATTTAATTGCACAGTATTGTGCAAAAGAAGATACTTCGTATAAATTGCTTATTTCTTGACCAATTTCAATGGGGTTTTATTCTTGAATTCTTGGGGTTCTTTAATATGCTGAATCTAACCGTGTATTTAGTTTTTGGATTTTGGGCCCCGTTTTTAAATTGGTCCACATTGAGGTCCAAAGGGTCCAAAATTAAACTTTGTTTGACTTTTATCAAAAATTGAATTATTGGGGTTCTTTGATATGCCGAATCTAACCGTGTATTTAGATTCTTAATTTTTGGTTCTGTTTTCAAATTGGTCTACATTAAGTTCCAAAGGGTCCAAAATTAAACTTAGTTTGATTTTAACAAAAAATGAATTCTAAGGGTTCTTTGATATGCTGAATCTAAACATGTATTTAGATTTTTGATTATGGGCCCAGTTTTCAAGTTGGTCAAAATCGGGGTCCAAAATTAAACTTTGTTTGATTTCAACAAAAATTGAATATATGGGGTTCTTTGATATGCTGAATCTAACCATGTATATAGATTTTTGATTTTTGGGCCCCGTTATCAACTTTGTCCACATTGAGGTCAAAAGGGTCCAAATTAAACTTTGTTTGATTTCATCAAAAATTGAATTCTTGGGGTTCTTTGATATGCTGAATCTAACCATGTATTTAGATGTTGGATATTGGACCATAATAGGTGAATGTACAATTTAAAATTTTTAAGTTCTTAGACCACATTCATTCTGTGTCAGAAACCTATGCTGTGTTAAATATTTAATCACAATCCAAATGCAAAGCTGTATCAAGCTTGAATGTTGTGTCCATACTTGCCCCAACTGTTCAGGGTTCGACCTCTGCGGTCGTATCAAGCTGCGCCCTGCGGAGCATTTTATTACAAATCAACTGATATCTTGCATGTTTGAATTTTCCTGTCAGTCTAAACTGGAGATGGGTAAAGGGAGACAATCCTAATAATAGCAGAACTGTATGGAAAAAAATGCTGGAATTTGTTCATTATCAGTAATTAATAATTAAACAAAATACAAAGGGATCTGGAAGTACGAAATTTGCAGACAACACAAGTCTTAAATGCATAAAATACAAATAAAAAAATCTTCATTTTGTCATTATTACACAATGATGTCCAAAAGAATGGACTTAGAATGGAAATTGATTTAAGTATAACAAGCTGGTAAATTATTTGCATAAGATATCATGTAAATATTATTTTATTAATGTATTTACTCATGCAACATAATTCCATTAAATTGTTTCATATGTACATATTGCATTGATATTTCAGATACAGCAAGCACAACAAGAAGCAGAAGAAGCTAAAGATCAAGCACAGATGGCTTACGATGAGGCAATGAAAGCTAAAAATGAAACTGAAAAAGCTAAACTCATGTTGCAGAATGTGCTTTCTGATGTACAAGATTTCTTGGGATTAGGTAGAGCAACGCCAGATGATGTGAAAGAGGTAATTTTTATAGACCTATTTTACGTTGTTATCAGATTTGTTTCAGACTCTACAAGAATGAATTTCACCTTATTTGAAAGGAATATGCAAGCTAAAAATGAAATGGTACAAAATAATACTACAACTATACTTGCATTTAAAGCATCTATACATTTAAACCTTTGTCAACAGTCATCTCTACATATGTTTTTTATTTGGGTGGCTTCCCCCTCAGTAGAAACTTATTTCATAGTACCTCATATTTTTTTATGCCCCCGCCGAAGCTGAGGGGGCATTAAGTTTTACCCTTGTCCGTCCGTACGTCCCAAAATTGGTTTCCCTTCTCTAACTTAAGTAAGCCTCAACCAAATGTTATCAAACTTTTACACAATGTTTATTACTAGAAAACACAGATCAAGGTTGAATTTTGGTGGTGTCCATTTAACCGTTCTAGAGTTATGCCCCTTTATAAATGGAAAAAATTGCAAAATTTTTCATTTCCGTTCTCTAACTTAAGTTTGCCTCATCCAAATGTTATGAAACTTATACACAATGCTTGTTACAACAATACACTATCAAGTTTGAATTTTGGGGGCGTCACTTTTACTGTTCTAGAGTTATGCCCCTTTACAAATTTTTCATTTTTTTCCCCCACAAATATCAGTCATTATTCAAGTAATTTTTAAAATTGGAGTTATCTTCCTTTGTCCATGATTATTTTATATTTACACAATTGTTATTTTTAGTTGGTATTGAGAATGTGATTGTCAGGATGATGATGGTTTAATTTGTTGTTGTTGAAATCTTGTAAAATTTACTAACACAAATTACTTATTACTGACATCTCAAAAAAGGTATACTGATTGCATCCAAAAAGGTTTTACATCAATTATAGACCAGATGCATTTGCATGTCAAATTACATGGCTATGTTTGAACAGTTTCCTAGAAAGGGTCATACTTACATTATGAGCATTACAATTATTCTTTTGAATCACTTTCAAGAACAATGAAAAGGATTAATAGAACTTTAAAATATGGTCTAATTAAGATGAAAGCAAAATACAATAATTGGGAGTTCAGTTGACTCAAAATTTCGGATGAGTGGAAGTTTTCTCGTGGTCCTGAACTTTGTTGCATATAACTATATGTATTTCGACTCCTAATGAGTCGAAATTTTGGTTGACTCGAACTAAATTTACGGTCCAAGGTTAATAAAGACATTCAAAATTCATTATTTATCTCGAACTAATACACATATGTCATAACATGACATCGGGGATTTAAATGGATTGAAGAGTTAATCTGACAATACACGTGTAATTAAATTTCTGGTCACTGACCACTGTATTGATTTATGACATAGTTTTTTCCACGAGTGTTTACCTAAGAAAATCTTTGATCACCATGAAAAATAATTAGTAATACATTGTTATAGTTTATGAAAACTTATTTAAAATGTTTTAAAAACAATTAACCTTAATCATTCACTAATGAGCTTGGTTGTGTATAAAGTAGGGATTAAGACTTCCAATGGTGATCAACTCAAAACTACTCAATCAGCGTCTTTAATCTTTTTGTATTTTCTCTTAAAGAAAAAGATTGAATTGTTTATGCCTTCAAATGACTGAAATAGCGACATGAATTATATATTTATATCTCCAAACATCTTACCATATCTGCTTAGACCTGGAAAAAGTTATGGTGACATCAAGCTATGTCTAGTTGAATAGGCACAGATACTCACAAAGTCCTTTTTGATATCATCTAGGGAACATTGTTGTAATAACATTAAACAGTACCACTTTAAATGTAGAAACTTGACATAATATAGCTGTCAAGAAACTAGACTTGATATAGCTGTCAAGAAACTAGACTTGATATAGATGTCTATAGCCGTCAAGAAACTAGACTTGATATAGCTGTCTATAGCTGTCAAGAAACTAGACTTGATATAGCTGTCTATAGCCATCAAGAAACTAGACTTGATATAGCTGTCTATAGCCATCAAGAAACTAGACTTGATATAGCTGTCAATTATTTATAAATTTCAATACTGTTGCTAAGCCTTAAAATTGTTAACCTTTTTTTGTAGATAACTGAAGAGGTACTTGGTATGAGTATATCACTGACTCCAAACCAAATCATTGAGTTGGCACAGAAAATAAATGAAACCATTCAGGGTTTACAAAATATTGATTCCATTCTTAATGCCACACGAGATGATTTAGATAAAGCACAGAAGCTTAAGGAGAGGGCAGAAAATGCAAAGTAAGAACTTAAATTAAGAACATTACTGTTAAGGGTTATGTCAATCACCAATGGCTTCATTACCAATTTATCTGATTGAAAATGTAAAAGGCAATTATTTTTTACAGAAATTTGAACAGAAGAAGGCATCACTTTTGGTCCCTCGAATTTGAAAATAACATAATGCCATACATTTGTTGTGTAATCCTTCATAAGTTCCCAAGATTGTCAGACATTGGAAATTATCAAGGATCCAGAGACAGTCATTTTTGCCTGTCATGACTGATTGAAAATCTATATGAAGGAAATGGAATTTCTAATATTGGTCAAGTTGTATTTGAAAATTTACTAAGATATAGAATTCCAGTTTAAAAGACATTGATATGCATTATTTATAACAAGAGGCATTTAAACAATTCATTTCTTATGATAGAAGAAAAAATAGAAAAATTATGGGTTTCTTAGATGAGGAAAAATCTTAATATAATCTAAACCTATTAATTTCTACGACACATAAAAGTTTTTGTTCATTAAAATGAGGAGAGTCTAGCTTTTTCAATGAGTGAATAATGTCTGTATCTTGTCACCAATAGTTGAAAGTTTCTTTAAAATGGTCCACCTCAAGATACCCATTTTGTTTCATTTTGATACGACCGCAAAAAAAATTTTGTGGTCGTATATTGGTATGACGTTGGCGTCGTTGTCGTTGTCGTCCGAAGACACATTGGTTTTCGCACTCTAACTTTAGTTTAAGTGAATGGATCTCTATGAAACTTTACCACAAGGTTCAATACCACAAAAGGAAGGTTGGGATTGATTTTGGGGGTTATGGTACCAACAGTCAAGGAAAAAGGGGCCAAAAATAAGCATTTTTGTAACTTCCAGACATAACTTGTGTGTTAGTGTATGGATCTCTCTGACATTGTACCACAAGGTTCCATATCACAAAGGGAATGCTGGGATTGATTTTGGGGGTAATTGCCTCAAAATTTTAGGAATTAGGGGCCAAAAAAGGGGCAAAAAACAAGTATTTTTCTAGTTTCATGACAATAACTTGTGTGTAAGTGTATGGATCTTTCTGAAATTGTACTACAAGGTTCCATATCACAAAAGGAAAGCTGGAATTGAGTTTGGGGGTAATTGCCCAAAACGTTTAGGAATAAGGGGCCAAAAGGGGGCCAAAAATAAGAATTTTTCTAGTTTCCAGACAATAACTTGTGTTCAAGTGTATGGATCTCTCTGAAATTGTACTGCAAGGTACCATACCACAAAGGGAAGGCTGGGATTGATTTTGGGGGTAATTGCCTCAAAATTTTAGGAATAAGGGGCAAAAAAGGGGCAAAAAAACAAGCATTTTTCTAGTTTCAGGACAATAACTTGTGTGTAAGTGTATGGATCTTTATGAAATTGTACAACAAGGTTCCATATCTCAAAGGGAAAGCTGGGTTTGAGTTGGGGGGTAATTGCCCTAAACGTTTCGGAATTTGGGGCCAAAAAGGGGCAAAAAAACAAGCATTTTTCTAGTTTCCAGACAAAAACTTGTGTTCAAGTGTACGGAGCTCTCTGAAATTGTACTGCAAGGCACCATACATTGTAACACAATGGGAAGGCTGGGATTGAGTTTGGGGGTGATGAATCATAAGGGGGTTCAAAAAATTTGAGGGGGGATTTTTTTCCTCTTTTTTTTCTTTAAAATTTTCCATTTTAAATTGGTTATTTCTGAATTATATATAAAAGCAAATAATAATGATATGGTTTGAATAGGTAAATTAAAAATTTTTAAGTTCTTAGACCACATTCATTCTGTGTCAGAAACCTATGCTGTGTCAAATATTTAATCACAATCCAAATTCAGTGCTGTATCAAGCTTGAATGTTGTGTCCATACTTGCCCCAACTGTTCAGGGTTCGATCTCTGCGGTCGTATCAAGCTGCGCCCAGCGGAGCATTTTATTTATAAATTGCCCTAGATCACTGAAGAGCCAGAGATAGAATAATCAAAGACACCAGGCTATAATTTAGTATGTCAGATGTAAAAAAAACTTTCTTTAAGAGTGATGGTAGAGCATAAACCAAATCATCATTCATCATTTAACTAATTTTGGCTGAAAGAAATTATCAAAATAATTCAAAAACTGTACCTTAAGTACATTGTGTGAATGATTTAAAAAGTATATGCCATTTTTTCATTTGTTGAACCTTAGTTTTATTCTTGATAATAATCCCTGTCTTAATCAAGCAATTTGATAATGTACTACATGTAATAGGAAATATTCTGATAATGAAATCTGTCCTTATTTACCAAATATTTATTTTAAGCAAATTATATCATAGAATATAGGCAACCAATAAACTTGCAAAGAAAAAAGTAGTCTTTTGGCGCTAAACAAATTCTAGCTGATTTATTTAACTCTGATGTGCTTGTTTGTATTGAAAACTTAATTATTGTAGAGGTGATGCAAATACTATCCTAGGAAAAGCCCAGGATGTTCTGAACAACTTGAAGGGAGCTACATCTGCCCAGAATTCAGCTACAATTGCCATTAATAAGGCTGACAATGACATAACAGATGCTGAAGCAGACCTAACACAGGTAAATAGAGAAAATGGTTCAGAATGAAATACAACTTTTCTGGATGATAGTAATACAGTGAAGTGTTATGAACATAGATTACAATCATTATTCTCACTTGGGGTGCTAAAAATATCAGTACATTAGAAGGGCAATTTTCACCCTCTCACACACATCTCTGGTACCCAGAACGGAGTTTAAACTAGAATGGGTACTTTGGGGGCCTCGGTTGGTCAAAGTTGTCCCCTACTTTGACCTGGAGATCAATCTTCTGATATCTCCCTGGTTTGTCTGTTGCCGCTGAGTGACCCGGTGGTTCTCTCCGAGTACTTAGGCTTCCTCCACCATAATAACAGACTTCCCGGTGTCCTAGCACTCCCTTTGTGTTGGGTGGGGATTGATCATCCTTGTTAAAATAATTGTCGTATAAATATATGTTAGTGACACATCAACATTAATCCTGATAGGGAGTGAACATGGATGCCACTGTACCCTCGCAGCTTTTGATGGGTTCTTCGGATAACAGAGGCATTTACCAGTACATACATACATACATACATACATAATTGCCTCAAACGTTCAGGAATTAGGGGCAAAAAAGGAGCCAAAAACAAGCATTTTTCTAGTTTCCAGACAATAACTTGTGTTTAAGTGTATAGATCTCTATAAAATTGTACAACTAGGTTCCATACAATAAAGGGAAGGCTGGGATTGAGTTTTGGGGTAATTACTGCAAGGGGGGGTTCAAAAAGTTTTGGGGTTTGTTTTTTTTCCAATTTTTTGGGGGGGTTCATATTTTTTTTCTTGAAAATTTTTGAAATTTCAAATAATTGCACAATATTGCGCAATAGCAAGAAATCTTCAATTGCACAGTATTGCACAATACCACAGTATTGGACAATAGCAAGAAATCTTCAATTGCACAGTATTGCGTATTAGCAAGAAATCTTCAATTGCACAGTATTACACAATAGCACAGTATTGTGCAATAGCAAGAAATCTTCAATTGCACAGTATTGAGCAATAGCACAGTATTGCGCAATAGCAAGAAATCTTCAATTGCACAGTATTGCGCAATAGCAAGAAATCTTCAATTGCACAGTATTGAGCAATAGCACAGTATTGCGCAATAGCAAGAAATCTTCAATTGCACAGTATTGCGCAATAGCAAGAAATCTTCAATTGCACAGTATTGAGCAATAGCACAGTATTGCACAATAGCACATTATTGCGCAATAGCAAGAAATCTTCAATTGCAGAGTATTGCGCAATAGCAAGAATATCTTCAATAGAAAATAAATACAAATCTTTTAACCAATTTCAATGGGATTAATTTAAAGTCTTTAATTTTTGGGGGTTCTAACCTTGTATTACTTTTTCGGATATTGGGCTACATTGAGGTCAAAAGGGTCCAAAATTAAACTTTGTTTGATTTCATCAAAAACTGAATTATTGTGGCTGTATGATATGCTGAATCTTGTGCATTTAGATTTTTTATTTTGGGCCCTGTTTTCAAATAGTCCATATTAAGGTTTGAAGGGTCCAAAATTAAACTTTGTTTGATTTGAACTAAAATTAAATTGTTGGTTTTATTTTTATATGCTGAATCTAATCATGTTGTTAGATTGATGGAATTTTATGAAATTTGGACAGAAGCTTGTTAATGACCAAAATACAGTATCCAGAGCAAAATTTTGAAAACATTTATTTTCATTTTTCCATATTTTACTGATAGATGGACTTAGTATTTTTTTTAAATTTAACAAGTAGATGTAGTCTGGGGTTAAAGTTTGTTACACATCAAATACTTTGTTAACCCTTCATAGAATTTTATTAAACTTTTTTATGATTAAGAGATAATGTCTGAAGCACACTTTTGAAAATATATTTTCATTTTCAGTATTTTTCTGATAGATGGACCTATTTAGTTAACATTTACAGACAGTTTGGGATTACATTTTTTTTGACATGATTAGTTTGTTAACCTTTATGGAATGTATGAAACTTGGACAGAAGCTAATCTTCAAGACCCAGAAATAGCATCAAAAGAGAATGTTTGAATTTTTAGCTCACCTGGCCCGTTAGCTTTTTACTAAAATCTTCTCCTCTGCAACCACTAGGCCAAATTCAACCAAACTTGACCACAATCATCATTAGGGTATCTAGTTTAAAAAATGTGTCCGATGACCCCTCCAACCAACCAAGATGGCCGCCATGGCTAAAAATAGAACATAGGGGTAAAATGTAGATTTTGGCTTATATCTCTGAAACCAAAGCATTTAGAGTAAATCTGACAGAGGGTAAAACTGATTATCAGGTCAAGATCTATCTGCCCTGAAATTTTCAGACAAATCTGACAACCTGTTGTTGGGTTGCTGCCCCTGAATTGGTAATTTTAAGGAAATTTTGCAGTTTTTATACGACCGCAAAATGCGGTCGTATATTGGTATGACGTTAGCGTCGTCGTCGTCGTCCGAAGACACATTGGTTTTCGCACTCTAACTTTAGTTTAAGTGAATGGATCTCTATGAAATTTTACCATAAGGTTCAATACCACAAAAGGAAGGTGGGGATTGATTTTGGGGGTTATGGTACCAACAGTTAAGGAATTAGGGGCCAAAAAGGGGCCAAAAATAAGCATTTTTGTAACTTCCAGACATAACTTGTGTGTTAAGTGTATGGATCTCTCTGACATTGTACCACAAGGTTCCATATCACAAAGGGAATGCTGGGATTGATTTTGGGGGTAATTGCCTCCAAATTTTAGGAATTAGGGGCCAAAAAGGGACAAAAAACAAGCATTTTTCTAGTTTCATGACAATTACTTGTGTGTAAGTGTATGGATCTCTATGAAATTGTACTACAAGGTTCCATATCACAAAGGGAAAGCTGGAATTGAGTTTGGGGGTAATTGCCCAAAACATTTAGGAATAAGGGGCCAAAAATAAGCATTTTTCTAGTTTCCAGACAATAACTTGTGTTCATGTGTATGGATCTCTCTGAAATTGTTCTGCAAGGTACCATACCACAAAGGGAAGGCTGAGATTGATTTTGGGGGTAATTGCCTCAAAATTTTAGGAATTAGGGGCCATAAAGGGGCAAAAAAACAAGCATTTCTCTAGTTTCAGGACAATAACTTGTGTGTAAGTGTATTGATCTTTATGAAATTGTACTACAAGGTTCCATATCACAAAGGGAAAGCTGGGTTTGAGTTTGGGGGTAATTGCCCTAAACGTTTAGGAATTTGGGGCCAAAAAACAAGCATTTTTCTAGTTTCCAGACAATAACTTGTGTTCAAGTGTATGGATCTCTCTGAAATTGTACTGTAAGGTACCATACCACAAAGGGAAGGCTGGGATTGAGTTTGGGGGTGATGAATCATAAGGGTGTTCAAAAAATTTGGGGGGGGGATTTTTTTTCCCTTTTTTTTCTTTAAAATTTTCCATTTTAAATTGGTTATTTCTGATTTATATATAAAAGCAAATAATAATGATATGGTTTGAATAGGTAAATTAAAATTTTTTAAGTTCTTAGACCACATTCATTCTGTGTCAGAAACCTATGCTGTGTCAAATATTTAATTACAATCCAAATTCAGTGCTGTATCAAGCTTGAATGTTGTGTCCATACTTGCCCCAACTGTTCAGGGTTAGACCTCTGCGGTCGTATCAAGCTGCGCCCCAGGGGAGCATTTTATTGGTTATTATCTTGAATATTATTACAGATAGAGATAAACTGTAAACAGCAATAATGTTCAGCAAAGTAAGATCTACAAATAAGTTGTCATGACCAAAATTGTCAGTCGACCCCTTTAGGAGTTATTGCCCTTAATAGTCAATTTTTAACAATTTTTTGTAAATTTTTGTAATCTTTTACAAAAATCTTCTTTTCTGAAACTACTGAGACAAATTTAACCATACTTGGCCATAATCATTATAAGGGTATCTAGTTTAAAAAATTTGTCCGATGACCCCGCCTTCTAACCATCATGGCTGACTTGGTTAAAAATAGAACATAGGGGTAAAATGCAGTTTTTGGTTTATATCTCTGAAACTAAAGCATTTAGAGCAAATCTGACAGGTGGCAAAAATGTTCATCAGATTTAGATTTATCTGCCCTGAAATTTTCAGACGAATCCGACAACCCGTTGTTGGGTTGCTGCCCATGAGTTAGTAATTTTACAAAAATTTTGCAGTTTTTTGTTATTATCTTAGATATCATTATAATATCTAATATCTAATACTATTAATTATGATTTTAACCTTATTTTACATGATTTCCAAAGCATCAGTAAATACAGGTGAGCGACACAGGCTCTTGAGAGCCTCTAGTTTATAAATTTTAGATTTTACATTTCCAAGTTATGGGGTTTTATTCATTAAAAAAAGGGGGATTTTCCAGTTTTCGGACAATAACTCAAGAATGCTTTCACCAACTTGCAAGAAATTGTGGTGAATTGTTTATATCTATTGACATGAGCTCCCTGTCGATTTTAATAAATTTTAGATTTTACGTTTCCGAGTTATGGGGTTTTATTCATTAAAAAAAGGGGGATTTTCCAGTTTTCGGACAATAACTCAAAAATGCTTTCACCAACTTGCAAGAAATTGTGGTGAATTGTTTATATCTATTGACATGAACTCTCTTTCGATTTTTATATATTTTAGATTTGACGTTTCCGAGTTACAGGGTTTTATTCATAAAAAAAGGGGGATTTCCCAGTTTTAGGACAAAAAATCAAAAATGCTTTCAGTAGTTCTTATGAAACTTTGGTGAATTGTTTATATATCTATTGATGTAAGCTCCGTTTAGAATTTTATAAATTTTTCATTTATCATTTCTGAGTTATGGGGTTTTATTCATTAAAAAAGGGGGGGATTTTCAAGTTTTCGGACAATAACTCGAAAATGCTGTCAGCAATTCTCATGAAACTTTGGTGAATTGTTTATATCTATTGATGTAAGCTCCCTTTACATTTTCATAAATTTCTAATATGACATTGAGAATTAATTGAACTTTATTTGTTTATGGTCTGACAACAGATTTACTAAGTATTGCGCAACGGCACAGTGTATTGCACAACAGCAAGAAATTGTTAATTGAATATAAATTCAATTCATATAACCAGTTTCAAGTTCTTTGACTACATTTATTCAGAAACCTATAATATGTCAAATATTTAATTACAATCCAAATTCAGACCTGTATATATGTTATATTATAGTTCGTTTCTGTGTGTGTTACATTTTAATGTTGTGTTTTTGTTGTGTCGTTGTTCTCCTCTCATATTTGATGCGTTTCCCTCAGTGTTAGTTTGTAACCCGGATTTGTTTTTATCTCTATCGATTTATGAGTTTCGAACAGCGGTATACTACTGTTGCCTTTCTGTATCAAGCTTGAATATTGTGTCCATTTTTGCCCCAACTGTTCAGGGTTGGACTTCTGCAGGCGTATCCAGCTGTGCTCAGCGAAGCAGTTTATTGGTTTATATCTCTGAAACTAAAGCATTTAGAGCAAATCTGACAGGTAGCAAAAATGTTCATCAGATTTAGATTTATCTGCCCTGAAATTTTCAGACGAATCCGACAACCTGTTGTTGGGTTGCTGCCCCTGAGTTAGTAATTTTACAAAAATTTTGCAGTTTTTTATACGACCGCAAAAATTTAAAATTTTTTGGTCGTATATTGGTATGACGTTGGCGTCGTCGTCGTCGTCGTTGTCCTGCGTCGTCCGAAGACACATTGGTTTTCGCACTCTAACTTTAGTTTAAGTGAATGGATCTCCATGAAATTTTACCATAAGGTTCAATACCACGAAAGGAAGGTTGGGATTGATTTTGGGGGTTATGGTACCAACAGTTAAGGAATTAGGGGCCAAAAATAAGCATTTTTGTAACTTCCAGACAATAACTTGTGTGTAAGTGTATGGATCTCTCTGACATTGTACCACAAGGTTCCATATCACAAAGGGAAGGCTGTAATTGATTTTGGGGGTAATTGCCTCAAAATTTTAGAAATTAGGGGCAAAAAAACAAGCATTTTTCTAGTTTCATGACAATAACTTGTGTGTAAGTGTTTGGATATTTCTGAAATTGTACTACAAGGTTTCATATCACAAAGGGAAAGCTGGAATTGAGTTTGGGGGTAATTGCCCGAAACGTTTAGGAATTGGGGGCCAAAAAGGGGCCAATAATAAGCATTTTTCTAGTTTCCAGACAATAACTTGTGTTCAAGTGTATGGATCTCTCTGAAATTGTACTGCAAGGTACCATACCACAAAGGGAAGGCTGGGATTGAGTTTGGGGATGATGAATCATAAGGGGGTTCAAAAAATTTGGGGGGGGGGGTATTTTATTTTTTCTTTTTTTTTCTTTTTTTCCTTTTTTTTTTCTTTTAAAATTTTCCATTTTAAGTTGGTTATTTCTGATTTATATTTAAAAGCAAATAATAATGATATGGTAGGAGATACACACCAAACAGGTTGTGTAAATTATTATATATTATAAGTATTGTGCAATAGCAAGAAAGTTTCAATTGCACAGTATTGCACAATAGCAAGAAATCTTCAATTGCACAGTATTGCGCAATAGCAAGAAATCTTCAATTGCACAGTATTGCGCAATAGCAAGAAATATCCAATAGCACAATATTGCGCAATAACAAGAAATTGTCAATTGTACAGTATTGAGCAATAGCAAGAAATATTCAATTGCACAGTATTGTACAAAAGAAGATACTTCGTATAAATTGCTTATTTCTTGACCATTTTCAATGGGTTTTATTCTTGAATTCTTGGGGTTCTTTAATATGCTGAATCTAACCGTGTATTAAGTTTTTGGATTTTGGGCCCCGTTTTTAAATTGGTCCACATTGAGGTCCAAAGGGTCCAAAATTAAACTTTGTTTGATTTCATCAAAAATTGAATTATTGGGGTTCTTTGATATGCCGAATCTAACCGTGTATTTAGATTCTTAATTTTTGGTTCCGTTTTCAAATTGGTCTACATTAAGTTCCAAAGGGTCCAAAATTAAACTTAGTTTTTTAACAAAAATTGAATTCTTAGGGTTCTTTAATATGCTGAATCTAAACATGTATTTAGATTTTTGATTATGGGCCCAGTTTTCAAGTTGGTCCAAAATTAAACTTTGTTTGATTTCAACAAAAATTGAATATATGGGGTTCTTTGATATGCTGAATCTAACCATGTACATTGTATTTAGATTTTTGATTTTTGGGCCCTGTTATCAACTTTGTCCACATTGAGGTCAAAAGGGTCCAAAATTAAACTTTGTTTGATTTCATCAAAAATTGAATTCTTGGGGTTCTTTGATATGCTGAATCTAACCATGTATTTAGATTTTGGATATTGGACCATAATAGGTGAATGTCCAATTTAAAATTTTTAAGTTCTTAGACCACATTCATTCTGTGTCAGTAACCTATGCTGTGTCAAATATTTAATCACAATCCAAATTCAGAGCTGTATCAAGCTTGAATGTTGTGTCCATACTTGCCCCAACTGTTCAGGGTTCGACCTCTGCGGTCATATCAAGCTGCGCCCTGCGGAGCATTTTATTAAATTCTGTATTTTACTGATAAATGGACTCACTTTTTTAGTCAACATTACACTTTTACACTGACAGCAGCAATCGTAGGCGAGACACAGGGTTCCGCAGAACCCCTTACGAATTTTTCAGCTAGGAATGCACTAGTTTGTCTAGTTAAAGTAAGAAGTAATTTAGTGATATTTAGAATTATAGACATGCAGATTTGTATGTTTAAAGCTAGTTTTCTTTCATTTATTAGATTGAATCAGAGACATCTGCTGCAAGTGAAAAGTCAGACATGTCACTGAAAGCAATAGAACTGTTGAAGATAAGACTGGAAGCTTTAAGAAAAAAATACATTGAAAATGACATCAAAGTTAAACAAGCTGAAGATGCTGCACAACGTGCTAGTGAGACTGCTTTAGTTGCGGAAACGGTTTGTACTCAATTTGTATTCTCAATAAAAATGTATAACCAGTATAGAAATCATTTGAAAAATTCCCTTTAACAGATATTGAAATTCTGTGCTTTCTGGTCTTTAATAAAATCTAATAATCTGATATACTTACCCTAGACATCCTCTTCTTTATTGTTTAACATTATGAATTCCTTAAAGTTTGGAAATAACCAAATGAGATAAAGCTGTTTTATACTCTTGCTTCTTTTGAAGGAAAACGTTTTATTTTGTTAATTTATTTATAATATTGTATATGTTTGTATGTAGATATAATATTTTATGTACTATGTTTGAGGAACCTCAGTATGAATATAGACAGACTGTGAAATGCAATCTAGCCAGCCTGGAAGTTGCTATGTTTGGAATTATAAAATATAAGGCCAACATTTGTACCTTATTTGTTAGTTAAAAATTGCATTTCTATTACAAATTTACTATACCTGGTCTCCTTATCAACATTCTTAGATTATCTTGTTAATAGGATTATCTTGTTAAAAGTTCAATATGATGTGTTTCTACAACAAAAACAAATTGGAAAATTGACTGCTATAATCCAATACTTTAAGGCAGTGGGCACTTTGCTGTTTTCACAATAAATGGGTTACCTGAAACCTGTGGTTATTAATCCCCTAACGACGAAGTCAAAGGGGACTTTAGGTTTGCACTCCGTCCATCTGTCTGTCCATCCGTCAGTCCGGCAAATCAGTTTTCCGCACTTTTGAAGATATTGATTTGATAATTTGTATATAGTTTTATCATGACAAGTTACAGACCAAGTTCAGATTTTGTTCCGGTCTGATGATTTTGTGCAGAGTTATGGTCCTTGGACTTCACTCCAATAATCAGTTTTCCTCACTTATTTTCGTCACTTGAAGATATTGATTTGATGATTGGTATATAGTTTTATCATGACAAGTTCCAGATCAAGTTTGAATTTCCGTTCTGATGATTTTGTGCAGAGCTATGGTCTTTGGTCTTAGAAAATTCACTTAAATAATAAGTTTTCCACACTTTTTATCGTCATGCTTGAAGATATTGACTTGATATTTGTTATATAGTTTACACCATGACAAGTTATAGATCAAGTTAGCATATTGTTCCAGTACAATGAATTTTTAACCAGTAGGGGACTATGTATTGCCATGCAATACTCTCAGAATGCTTGTTACACTGCAGTTATAGATTTTCTTATTGTAATGTCTTAATATAGAAGAAGAGAATGCTGTTTACAATGCTTGGGAAATGATAACAAAAATTATATTAAAGATATTTGTTTATTTGATGTTTTTGTTTTCAGAGAGCTAATGAACTAGAAATGGACTACAGTCCAACTGCATCACAGCTAGATTCTCGTTATAACCTTACAAAGGCAGCCAGAGCTAAGGCACAAGATCTAAAGGTTAGAGCTGACAGATTGGCAGGGGAGACAACTAATAAGTTAGACAAACTCAGAAGTAAGTCAATTGTTTTAATGTATGGTTTATCATCATCTTTAAGTAAATCAATTTTTTTTAATGCATGGTTTATCATCATCTTTTTATAAGCTCACCTAGCCAGTGAGCTTTTCTCATCACTTGGTGTCCGTAATCTGTTGAACGTAGTTGTTGCCGTCCATTTACTTTTGCAAAAATCTTCTCCTCTGAAACCACTGGACCAAATTTAACCAAACTTAGCCACAATCATTATCCGGGTATCTAGTTTAAAATATGTGTCTGATAACCCTCAACCCCTTTCTACCAAGATTGCCAACATGGCTTAATATAGAACATAGGAGTGAAATGCAAGTTTTGTTTATCTTGAAAACTGCTATGAATAGAGAAAATCTGACAAGGGCAGAATTGTTGAGAATGTTGAGATCTACCTGCTGTCTGTTTATGTCAAAACTGTCAGACCACTTCTTGTAGGAGTTATAGCCCTTAAATTTCAAATTTTATCAATTTTTGTCTTTTTATTTTGAAAACAATAATAAATACAGAGAAATTTTAATTCGAAAAAAGGATTGCAAGTGCTATTATTGTATGTAAGGGAATGTTTTTACATATGTATAATTTTTTTATATCTATTTTTAGAAATGCAAGAAGATTTCAACAAAAATGAAATGACTTTAAATCAATTAGCTGATAACATAGATGAATTAAACAGAAATATGACTATTTATCTGCAAGTCATAACAAAGAAATCCAGGGAGTATTATAAATGTAAAACATAGTTGCCATACATATTTAGTGGTAATAAAGTTTTAAAAGGGCTGTAACGAATTGACAGATCTGCATATTTGTTTTACAAATATGATAACTTATTGCATGTACGGTTGTATTTAAAGCTTTCCTGATATTATATATAAATGTAGTAGGTTAGATATACATGTGAATCAGATTATCTATCCAGGTTGTATTTCATGGTTATTAATCTCATGTATATTAGATTCATATACTCATTATTATACAAATGTGCCAATATTTTTCTCAAACTGTGTTACATGATTATATTTCAGTAAAGATAATTGAACAATTTTATAATATGGTGCTGACATTATTGTTTTTGTTTTCATTTTTCAGAGTTTGAGACTCTGATATTTTTGTGATAATATTTGCTTTAAGTCTACAAATCCCCATAAAAATTAAAACACAGTATTCCTGGTCACAGTACAAACGTTAGAAATACTGCTTTTGCTTACTTTTGATAAAAAGGACTGAAAAGAGATCCAAAATGACTTGAAATTAAATTAGATTTTGACCACATTATCCCTCTGAAAATAATAATCTATGAAAATTCTGTCTCAGAATTGTAATGACATTTTAGCAGAATTATCTTTGATAAATCTTATACAAAATTGAATAATTGTCATACAGTTTCTATATAAATGATGTTATTTTAATGTCAAACTTATGCACTCAGACTTAAATTTTTTTTAATTTTGTAATCAGTTTGGAGCTTTTTCTCAATAGTAACTGTGACCAGTATGGTATGGTCATAAAGTGAGACTGGTGTTCCCAGATTCTTACATTTTTTCCGCTTTGTGCTTTTATAGAAAACCTTTGTTTTGTATTAACAAATTTGACTCATTATTAATGTATATATTATAAGGGAGCCCTATTGGCTCAACTACCTGAACCAAAACTATTGTTTTAATTTTGTTCTTAATTTTTATGGACTTTCTGTTTTATTTTGAATTCCATTTACAGTGCCATTGTCAATTATTGATATATTACTTGGCGTCCATCATCCATTAACTTTATTAATTCTATTAAAACAGGGCAAAATTTACGCAAAACTTTGTAGGATAAATGTTATGGAGATATTTCTTAGATTAACAAATTACTTATGCCATTACTGAACCAAACTTGGCTACAGTCAAAGAAAATATAATTTCCAACTGCACATTTTGCTGTTACACAACCTACTAATATCAAATGTTGGATGTTTTTATTTTTTTGTAGTCCCCATTATTGAATTAGTATCATAGTGAATGTTAAAGGTTCTTTGGGACCTCTAGTTGTGATTTTATTGTATTTCTTTATAAATAACCATTTAAGTAAATATACATGTAAATATGTTTATGTAGAGATGCTTTTATAAAATACATATGTATTTACATTTATGTGGATTTGTAATAGTTTTATGTGTTGTTTTTATATGTCTGTCTGAATTTTAGATTTTTGTTTGTAAAAGTTTCTGTCTTCATGTGTACTTCAGTAAAAAATTATAATTCATATCAATCGATCCTAACAATATAATATAGAAGAGTTTCACATCATTTTTTAAAAATGCTGTAACAGTTTATCTTGTTTCAATAATATTATTGCTGATGCAGTTTATTTTAAAGGTTGCATTTTCATTTAAGTATACAATATTTTTGATATTTATGCTACAATGTAATTTATAATCATTTATTGACCCACCAACAAGTCAAAACTAAGAAATCCAGATAATTTTAACTTCACATCTAAATAACATTCTTATGTTCACTTTTGGCTAGAAATACAAATTTCCAGACTAGACCAATTGTTGAAAAGATTGCCAATTGTGATCGTTACCATTTGGTATCTGTCCTCTATTAACATAACCCTTGAACTTATTGAAACCAAAAATAGCAGGAATGGTGCTTGCAAATCCAAAATAAGAATTTGAAATGGGTAATTCTAAATTTTGATTTGGTAAAAATTGATACAAGCAAAAATTCTGCAGAATTATATAACCACTTCATAAGAAACTGGTAGAAATGCTCATTTAGAGTTGTTACTATGGTGATGACCCGCTCAAGTGCAGATGTTGATATTAAGCACATTTTGAAACAAATCTTGGTAGTACTGACTTAAAAAGATAACGAGAAAAAAAACTGTGTCAAGTATAAATATTGTTATTTTGTCCTGTTCTGCTATTAAATTTTAATCAATTATCTTTAAAAAAGCTCAAACTACTATGCACAAATAGTGTGTGAATTTAACAATCAGTCCAGTTATCGAGAGCAAACAGAGTTTTGTCATAGCATTAGATCCTTTCATTTTTTTTATTTTGCTGATCTTGTTATTGAAGGTTCTGAAATTTAACTCAGTTGTTTCCACTCAAAAAAGGTGTACAACTCATGTTGTGTCATTTGTTTTTCCATTGGTTAAGCTAAATCCAGAATCAGTTTTACTGTCAGATTCTAACTGACAGTTTCATAATCAAATTCAAATTCACTTATGGTTCTGGTTCTTCTTTTTTTTGTTACCTTCAATTGATTTATATATTAAGGTTACACATACTTTTATTTTTGAACAGTGTGTAAAATGAGCTTTAATCAAAATCTTCCCAAGAAAAATTATAAATCTCCTTGACACTTGATTCATTTGAAGTTCTGTTTGTAGATTAACATGGTACTGCTTCATGACAATCATGTGTGTTATTTTCTGTGATTTAGTAACAATGCCTTCTACGAGAATAAAAAATGCTTAAAGAATACAAAACTTATTTCAGTCAATACTTGACCATTTTGTAGTATAAATATATTGCATTGTCTTGGATATTTAATGTTTTATGTTCACAATAGATATATTTGACGACATATAAATATTTCTGAAACTTTGAATTCACTGATTGATGTATGAAATTACGCTAGACTAAAGACAAATAAAATGAATGTCATATGTGCCTTTGTAATTTACTATTGTCAAGGTTTGATAAGCTTCATTGTTTTTTTACTATACCATTTTAAAATAGTAGTTATAAAACCAAAGATAATTATGCAATTGTTTTATCGACTTTGATATATTTACAAGCATATTTTATATTAAGTGATCAAAGTAAATAGTGAGTTTTATGTAATTTTATAGCAGTTTTTGAAGTAGAAAACAAATCTTCCATTTTAAGAAATAATAAACCCTATGCAGTTTCCTATTTCTTCTTTTTGTATCTTGCCCAGCCCAAAGAGTCCAGGGTGAGCTGTTACCATCATTTAGCATCTGTTGTCTTGATTCAGGGGCGTAGCTGCCGTTAGGCACTTTAGGCACGTGTCTACACATAATTTTTTCACAAATATTTTTATGCCCCGCTGTAGCAGAGTGGCATTAAGTTTTACCCTTGTCCATCTGTACATACGAACGTACATACATACGTATGTACGTCCCAAAATTGGTTTCCATTCTCGGACTTTAGTTTGCCTCAACCAAATGTTATGAAACTTATACACAATGCTTATTACCACAAAACACAGATCAAGTTTGAATTTTGGTGGCGTCACTTTTACCGTTCTAGAGTTATGCCCCTTTACAAATGGAAAAATTGCTGAATTTATAGTTTCCGTTTTCTAACTATAGTTTGCCTCAACCAAATGTTATGAAACTTATACACAATGCTTATTACCACAAAACACAGATCAAGATTGAATTTTGGTGGCGTCACTTTTACCGTTCTAGAGTTATGCCCCTTTACAAATGGAAAAATTGCTGAATTTATAGTTTCCGTTTTCTTACTATAGTTTGCCTCAACCAAATGTTATGAAACTTATACACAATGCTTATTACCACAAAACACAGATCAAGATTGAATTTTGGTGGCGTCACTTTTACCGTTTTAGAGTTATGCCCCTTTACAAATGGAAAAATTGCTGAATTTTTAGTTTAAGTTCTCTAATTTTAGTTTGCCGCAACCAAATGTTATGAAACTTATACACAATGCTTATTACCACAAAACACAGATCAAGTTTGAATTTTGGTGGCGTCACTTTAACCGTTCTAGAGTTATGCCCCTTTATAAATGGAAAAAATGCAAAAATTTTATTTTCTTCTACATGTAAATATCAAGTAATTTTCAAAATTGAAGTATCTTCCTTTGTCCATGATTTTAGTTGAATCAACCACAATCAATGCTTTACACAATGCACAGATCAAGTTGAATTTGGTTAGTGTCACTTTAACCATTATTAAGTTATGCCCCTTTATAAATCGAAAAATTGCAAAATTTTTCACTTTAACCATTATTAAGTTATGCCCCTTTATAAATCGAAAGATTGCAAAATTTTTAGTTTCCATTCTGTAACTTAAGTTTGCCCCAACCAAACATTATGAAACCTATACACAATATTACCACAAAACTAAGATCAAGTACAAATTTTTGGTTTCCGTTTTCTAACTTTAGTTTGCCTCAACCAAATGTTATGAAACTTATATACACAATGCTTATTACTACATAATACAGATTAAGTACGAAATTTGGTGGCGACACTTTTACCATTCTTGAGTTATGTCCCTTTATAAACATAAAAATTGCTGAATTTTTCGTTCCCGTTCTCTAACTTTAGTTTGTCTCAACCGAATATTATAAAATAGTTATCAAAGGTACCAGGATTATAATTTAATACGCCAGACGCATGTTTCGTCTACATAAGACTCATCAGTGACGCTCAGATCAAAATAGTTATAAAGCCAAACAAGTACAAAGTTGAAGAGCATTGAGGACCCAAAATTCCAAAATGTTGTGCCAAATACGCTAAGGTAATCTATTGTAAACAGGAAATTTATATATATGACCATATAATTGATATTCATGTCAAAATGGTAGCTCCCTTATATATCGACCTCTCCTTTAATTCAAAGAACTACATTTTGTTCGATGATTTAAAGTTGAATCTTTTTGAGTGATCATAAAAAACAATATAATTGAATTACAACAAGCATAACTTGAGGTCTGGCTCATATCATCGTGTACATCTTTTTCTTTAAATTGATACTGATGAAGAAATATCAACTAGGATATAATAACTAGAGGCTCTCAAGAGCATGTGTCACTCACCTGATTCTACTTTGGTTTTGGAAATCATGTAAAAATAGATTAAAATCATAACAGATACCCTAATAATGAGTGAGGCCAAATTTGGTTTAATATTGGTCCTGTAATTTAATAAAAAATCCTGGTGGCCATCTTAAACAGTAAATCGGCAACAAAGTAGCAACACTTAATCAGCACCTCATAAGAAACATTTATGCCATGTTTTGGTTTCATTCCATTCAGTTCACCTCTAGAAGAAGCATTTGTATGTATTTCCCATAGGGTCTTATGTTAAAGGAAGTCCCCCCATTGGCGGCCACCATGGATGAAGGATCAGCTTCAAAGTAACAAAACTTAGTCAGCACCTCATAAGGAACATTCATGCCATGTTTGGTTTCAATCCATTCAGTATGTGGTTCTCTAAAAGAAGACATTTGTATGTATTGTCCATAGGGTCCTTTGTTTAACATTGTCCCCATCTGGCAGCCATCATGGATGAAGGATCAGCTTCAAAGTAACAACACTTGGTCAGCACCTCAAAAGGAACATGCATGCCATGTTTGGTTTCATTACATTCAATGGTTCTCTAAAAGAAAACATTTGTACGTATTTCTCATAGGGTCCTATGTTAAACTAAGTCCTCCGCTGACGGCCATCTTAGATTATAGATCGGCTTCATAGTAACAACACTTGGTCAGCACCTCATAAGGAACATTCATGCCATGTTTGGTTTCATTGCATTCAGTGGTTCTCTAAAAGAAGACATTTGTATGTATTTCCCATAGGGTCCTATGTTAAACTAAGTCCCCCGCTGGCTGCCATCTTGGATTATGGATCAGCTTCAAAGTAACAACACTTGGTCAGCACCTCATAAGGAACATTCTTGCCATGTTTGGTTTCATTCCATTCAGTGGTTCTCTAAAAGAAGACGTTTGTATGTATTTCCCATAGGGTCCCATGTTAAACTAAGTCCCCCGCTGGCGGCCATCTTGGATTATGGATCGGCTTCAAAGTAACAACACTCCGTCAGCACCTCATAAGGAACATTCATACCATGTTTGGTTTGATTCCATTCAGTGGTTCTCTAAAAGAAGACATTTGTATGTATTTCCCATAGGGTCCTATGTTAAACTAAGTCCCCCGCTGGCGGCCATCTTGGATTATGGATCGGCTTCAAAGTAACAACACTCGGTCAACACCTCATGAGAAACATTCATGCCATGTTTGGTTTCATTCCATTCAGTGGTTCTCTAAAAGAAGACATTTGTATGTATTTCCCATAGGGTCCTATGTTAAACTAAGTCCCCCGTTGGCGGCCATCTTGGATGATGGATCCGCTACAAAGTAACAACACTTGGTCAGCACCTCATAAGGAACATTCATGCCATGTTTGGTTTCATTCCATTCAGTGGTTCTCTAGAAGAAGTTCAAAATGTAAAAAGTTAACGCCGACGAAGGACGACGACGGACGCCAAGTGATGAGAAAAGCTCACTTGGCCCTTCGGGCCAGGTGAGCTAAAAATGTGATAATTGCAGTTTTCTTTAAGCCAACTTATTAGTAAGTAGCATAACATCTACCCCTGACTATGACTGCAAGAATATATGACGGATCCACAACTTACATGTAGTCCCCAACTGATATAAGCAGAAGTTGATTAACTATTTAGTTAAATATGCACAGTTTAATATCAAAGCATATTCTTAAGCAGAAGTTGATTAACTATTAGAGTATGCTTTGATTTTAAACCGTTAATATCAAACTAAAAAGCTTCCTGTACTGTTTTTTTCCAAAGTTTTCAAGCTAAGTTCAGTGAATATTGGACTTATGTTTCAAAAGTTATAACACAGTAACCAAATGCCTGTCCCAATTTCAGTCTAGCAAGTGGTGTGTTGTGACTTTAAAAATAGCACATTTAAAATCAGTAGAGGTTTTTTCACTCCATAGGGCATAAGCACGCCAAATGCGGTAAAAGGTCAACAAATGGTTCAGAGAAAGCTATTTAAGGGCCATAATTTCCTGTTGCATTGATTAAAGAATTGACAACAAAATCTGAAGTTAACAAAAAATCAATGTTATTTTAGTAGTCTCTACTCGATTTCTGTGCCAACATGATCTTTCAGCGGCTTATCTGTACTACCTGTAGAATCAAGAAGAAGATTTGTTGCTAAATGTTTAATAATTTGTACATATCTCTACTGTCTTAAAGTATCTATTGAAAATTAAATTCGTATTTTCATTAAATTTATGGATGTAATAAGGGGTACAAGGTTGCGGAATAGATATATTAAAATTATTTAAAAAAAACATAAGTCTATTGCCTAAGATTATGTCTGTTGTTAAGGAGAAAAGTGCATTGTCATATCAAGTTACAGAAAATATATAATTAATTTGTAAGGACTTGGAAAGAATATAAACTTATTTTCAGATACAATGCAAAAAAATCTTGTAATTATTTTCTGGGCAATATAATTATATTGCAATTGTCCCCTTTTGTTGTTGCCTAGCAACCTTCCCTTTGGAATGAAGACATGGAAAACTGAGTGTAGGGTGCAAATTAAACAAAAATAAATAGATTCAGAAAAAGCTGGTAAACTTCTCATGATACTCATCTGATTATTTCTGTATCAAAAAATTATCTGTACTTAGTTTCTTAAAATTGAACTTTGTTACTAAGGAATACATGTGTTGCTAAGCAACCATTTTATTTCAGACTGTTCGTTTATTATCCCAATGTATGCTCAGAGTCGATTTAACAATACAAGATTCATATTTGAATAAATTTGGGAATTCTGTGTTCCATAAAATATTTCATTGAGAATTGAGCTAAAAAATTGTTAAAATCTGATTTTTTGTAGGACCACACATTTAAATGTTTGAATGCTTATCCAATTTTATTCTACTTGTTTGTACCTGAACTATCAAGAATACAATAAGGGGCAATAAATTTGCTATCCAGATATTAAGATAAAGGCAATTAAATGTTACACGAGTATTAAATTTTCAAAATTCAAAAATCCACTATTTCGGGTTGCCATAGCAACGCTTCAAAAACATCTAATTGCTCAATATTTTGCAAATTATATCAAGGCAATATTTCCTCTTTACTGTAATTTTAGAGTTAATAAATTAC